ACTTCATCTCATCATATATCATCGCATTGTATCTCTTCATCTCATCATATTTCATCTCGTCGTATTTCATCTCATCTCACCGTATTTCATCTCATCTCATCGGACATCATCTCATCATATCTCTTCATCTCACATGGTATCTCTTCTCATCGTATTTCATCTCATCATATCATATATGGGGTCGTCGTGGCGCAGGGGTTAGAGAAGGTGTGCTGGGAAGCACAAGGTTGTTGGTTCGATTCCAGGCTGCCCCATGTTCCACGTCGAAGTGTCCCTGAGCAAGACACCTAACCCCTAATTGCTCCCCAGGCAAAAATGTGAAAAAGCCATGGGTTTAAAGTGTAATGTAAGTCGCTTTGGATAAAAGCGTCTGCTAAATGACCTGTAATGTAATATCCTCTCATTGTATCTCTTCATCTCATTTTATCTCATCATATATCATCTCATTGTATCTCTTCATCTCATCTTATCTCATCTCATCGTATTTCATCTCATCATATATCATCTCATTGTATCTGTCAGGGATGCGGGTGGGAGGCAGGACTCAAACGCAGACTTGTCAGGAAAACAAAAGACTTTAATAGTCAAAACGCCAAAAACACAGGAACCGGGAGGAAAAACAGCAGGCAAGAAACTACAGCCATCCACAACAAGAGACAATGACGCGATAAGTGACACAAGAGACACACGGCTTAAATACACAAGGGAGGTGCAGGTGATTGGACACAGGTGGAAACTATTAGACGATCACAGGGGATGACGGGACAAGGCAGGAAGTGAAGTTACCCGAGTAACGAGTAGTAAGGGACACGAGTGGCAGAAAACTACAAAATACAACAGGAAGTGAACCACACCGTGACAGTATCTCTTCATCTCATTTTATCTCATCTCATCGTATTTCATCTCAACGTATTTCATCTCATCTCATCATATATCATCTCTTGTATCTCTTCATCTCATCGTATTTAATCTCATCGTATTTCATCTCATTTCACCGTATTTCATCTCATCATATATCATCTCATTGTATCTCTTCATCTCATTTTATCTCATCTCATCGTATTTCATATCATTGTATTTCATCTCATCTCATCATATATCATCTCATTGTATCTCTTCGTCTCATCTTATCTCATCTCATCGTATTTCATCTCATCATATATCATCTCATTGTATCTCTTCATCTTATCTTATCTCATCGTATTTCATCTCATCATATATCATCTCATTGTATCTCTTCATCTCACATACATCTAATCTCATCGTGAGGTGGCAGTTAAAGAAGTCAATGACTGGCTGAATGTGAATGAGATGTAATTCACGGTCTCCTACCTGTCGTCCATCGATGGCTCCTCTCATCTCGTTGAACGTGGCTTCAAACTCCCCGATGTAGTCGTGCTTCCCGTTGGAGTCCCAGTCCCAGACGGTGCACTGAGTGGACAAAGAGACATCATCTGTGGGACACACTCATAATATGGAATCATCTTTCAGACACATTGACCAAATGTTTCTAATCCAACATCTGTTGTTGTTGGTGAAGATCAACAAACGTGAAACAAGTTCTCTCTTTGGAGAAGTTAATGTGATTTTACGGAAGACAAATCTGTTTCTGTTTGTGGATATTCAGCAAATTCAGTTATTATAATTATATGTTACACTCGTCACGTCTTTATCTTCAACAAAATCTTTTCACAATAAATTTGGTAGATGATATTAAGCTCAGTCAACTAGCCAGAGGAGTCGCCCCCTGCTGGTCACTACAGAGAATGCAGCTTTAACGTTTGGTCATCCAGTCAGAACCTCAACAGACTCCTATCCACCTCCAACCCTCCACCATCATTAGTGTCCTGCTCACCTTCTGTTTGAGGTCCTGTGCTAAGTGTTTGTACCTGCAGCTTGCGTTCGTGGTCTCCGCTGCAGAGCGAGTTGAGAGACACTTTGAAGGTTTTCCACACCGGGTTCAGATTATTCATCACCGTCTGAGATACACAGACGAGACGACAGGTTGGTAAAAAATGACTTCACTACGTTTATAGGGATCACAATCAAGCCCGCCGGGTCTTAGATGTTTGCTGAGACGGAACAAAAGAGAAGTTTCTGTGTGACAGAAGATGGAAAAACACATAGAAACCCCTCAGAGATCAGAACAAGCGATCGGAGAGAAACATTCCAAAAATATGAAGCTGCAAGTCCAAAACCTGAAATCAACAAACGTTATTCATGATCCTTCACTAAACCTGAGTAGGTATTTCATCATCTTCATCCAGTTCTCCCCTGTTGTTCTGAAAGGACTGCATTCATCTAATCAGCCGGGTCGGATAACGAGGTGTTGAGCTGTGACAGCGTGCCGTGTGTGGTGTGTGTGCCGTGTGTAGGGTGTCCAGCGTGTGTGTAGCGTGTGTAGTGTGTAGCGTGTAGCGTGGTACCTCGGTCCGGTAGACGAGCTGCATCGTGGCGTCGTCGTTCAGCCGGTAGATCTCCAGGAACGGGTCGGACTTACTGAAGAAGTCCTGCAATCACAAACAAGGACACACACGGACCCATTTAACGTGTTCATCAGCTCATTTAGGACTATTGAGCGTTAGCATGAACCGCGCAGGCAGATTGTACAGAAACACATAACATTTAATAACAGTAAAAGTAGCAACAACATTTAAAATCATTTGAATTGTGTTTGTTGGTTTATCCATTGACACCTGAGCGTCTCGCTGGAGGAGGAGGAGAAGTTTGACCACAATGTTTGACTTGTCACAGAGCACATAGTCTTCTATGGTGAGGTTTACAAACCACCACAAAGACACACAAAATAACAACAAAGAGACAGAAGAATTACAGAGAAACACTTTCAGTTGTAATCACAATGATTCCACCCTGTTTCATATTTGGCTTATTAGCAAATTGTATAATTGTTCAATAATGAAAGTAAACAAGTTACAAAGGTTTTTATCCGAATTCAACACAAAATGCTACTTTTACTGACTGTGCCCTTCATGACGAGCATCTTCAGTTCTTCGTTAGACCCCTTTGAAATGACTCAACGGTCCCCACGACGCACAACGCTACTCACCCAGCACAAGAAAAGTCGCCCCAATGTGCTGAAAACCAGATAGACAAGCTGCCACAGTTTGGGAAGTGTCTTCTGTGGAGGAATGAAAGCAAAGTGGAACTTTTGGGGCCTGTGGATCTGCAGATCTTCAACAACGACAAACCTGGTTCACAGCGGAACTCAGAGCACTACGTCTGCAGAAGGACCAGGCATTCAGGAGCGGGGACAAAGACTTGTACGCAGAGTCAAAGTACAAGTTTGTGCTCCTTCCATCTGGCAGGAGGCTGAGGTCCATCAGGACTGAGACCTCCAGTTTCTTCCCGACGGCACTGACTCTGACATCCCACACGTCACTTTCTGTTCGCTGGTGCACTTTATTTTTTTAATTTTTAATATTTTTTACTCTAACTTTTATTCATTTATTTTAAACTAACCCATAGCATTATGTTTTATTTTATTCCTTGTGCACTGTTGTCTTGTCGTCTATTGTCGTACTGTCTGCTGTCACGCACCAACCGCCAAGTCCGATTCCTCGTATGTGACATATTATGGTGATAAAATGTTTCCTGATTCCTGATTCCTGAAGTCCACCAAGGTTCCAGAAGAAGAGATGAGGTTTTGGAAATCTCTGGTGGGCTTTGGAGAAGGTGATCTCAAAACGCACACCCAAGAATGTTCGTGAAACTGGAGGCCTTCGGCTACGATTCCTCAGGAACGCTGTGAGAAGCTGCATCACGTCTGCTGCTCCACTGAGGTACTGGAGATGTTCATCATGAAGGGGTTGAATCATCTGAGACTCTTGTCCAGTTCCATTCAGCTACTTACTATTCTTCTGTCATTTGTTTATTGCAAACTGCTGAGAAATTGTATATTTTGCCAATAAACGGACAATGAGGGGTTGAATGATTGTGATCAGCTGTAACATACGACACGTAATGTGACAAAATAAATACGACAAATAAATGACAAATAAAGCTGGACCACAGAGACACAGCTGGACCACAGAGAGACACAGTTGGACCACAGAGAGACAGTTGGACTACAGAGACACAGCTGGACCACAGAGAGACACAGTTGGACCACAGAGACACAGTTGGACTACAGAGACACAGCTGGACCACAGAGAGACACAGTTGGACCACAGAGACACAGCTGGACCACAGAGAGACACAGTTGGACCACAGAGAGACACAGTTGGACCACAGAGAGACAGTTGGACTACAGAGACACAGCTGGACCACAGAGAGACACAGTTGGACCACAGAGACACAGTTGGACCACAGAGAGACAGTTGGACTACAGAGACACAGCTGGACCACAGAGAGACACAGTTGGACCACAGAGAGACACAGTTGGACCACAGAGAGACAGAGACAGGAGGTGAGACCTTGTCGTCCAGCTTCCTGGCGCTGAAGGACAGCTCGATGTAGTCGTCGTTGCCCGTCAGCTCCTCGGCTGAGATCTGTGGACACCAGAAAAATGTCCCATTAGACGCTTTGATTTTATTAATAAAAGTCAACTTAGAACAAATGAAATGCAACGAAACAGAAACAGAAGATTCAGCGTCCTGTCCTTTTGTCTGCTGCCGTACAGATGATGCGCCACATAAAAGAGAGTAATGTGGAGGAGACGTGTCTTCACTCCTCATGAGCCCAGAAAGACGAGGAGGAAGGAAGGAAGGAAGGAAGGATGGAAGGAAGGAAGGAAGGAAATATGCAGAACCAAATGTAAGGAACAAAGAGGCAGGAAATAAAATATAATACAAGGAAAGGAAGAGAGCGAGAAACTGAAATGAGTGAGAAAAATAAAAGGCAGGAAATGAAAGATGATGGAATAATAAAAAAGAAGTCGAAGGAAAAATGGTAGTAAAGGGAGAAGAAAAGTGAATGTGAAGTGTTCCTCACTCTAATCTCAGTTATCAATGGAAACAGGAAAAGGAAAAGAGAAGAAGATAGTGGAAAGAAATAAAAGTAGTGAGAGATAGAAGGGAAGGAGGAAGTAGAAGTGAAGGACAGAGGAAAGGAACAAAGGACTATTAGAAAGAGGAAGTAGGAATGAAGTGAGCAGCAGAGGAGACGCAGAAACAAAGGAAGGTTGTATGAATATAAGAAGATAAATATATATATATACCGTATATATATTTATAAAAAGGAAAACACTAAAGAAGTAAGAGGGAAGGAAAGAGAAGTAGGCGTGAGGAAGGAGGAAACAAGGACGGAGGAAACAAAGGATGTGAGAAGGAAAAAAGAAAGAAACAAGTTAGTTCTTTGGAAGGACGGAAGGAAAGAATAGAAAACGTCTCTTATCTACAGCGAGATGTAAACTGGCTTATTTAATGAAATCACACTTTCTTGTTTCTTGTTCTTCTGACTTTGTGTCCTCATGGTTGAAATGTTCTTATTGTAAGTCGCTTTGGATAAAAGTGTCAAATGACATGTGATGTAATAGAATATACTACTATATCTAGAATTTAAAAGGAAGACAAGCTCTGATCTGCTGCTTCCTGCTTGGAAATTCTTTCAAAGTAAAAATCTCCTGAACTGCGTTGGATTAAAGGAGCATCAGAGTCCCAAACATCCGACTTCCTGTCTGCACGAGAGGCAGAAACACGACTTGCTGAGCAGAAGGAGAGGAGAAGTGTGAGGATCCTCACTGGTTTCCTACTCTGACAGATCTCAACATGTGGAGCCGAGTGAGGAAGAAGCATTACGGCGACACGCTGAAGCTCACCGTGATGATGGTTTTCCCCACAGTGCCTCCTGGTCTGAGCAGAGCTTTGCACAGTTTCCTCTGAGAGATGATCTGCACACACACACACACACACACACACACACACACACACACACACACAGGTTCATACAAATGTCTGTTCTGGTCACAACCTTGAATGTTTCATTCTATGAAAGAAGACTCTCAGGAGGAGCAGCAGCGTCTATGGGAGCCTCTTCTCCTCCTCTGGGCCCACGAGCTGAGACTGAGCTGGTAGACGGGGAGGAGGAGGAGGAGGAGGAGGAGGAGGAGGAGGAGGAGGAGGAGGAGGAGGAGCAGCGTATCCATGAGGGTTGTGATGTTAAGGTGTTCCTCCAGCAGGCTGGTTATCAGTACTTGGATTAATCCTTTTGGAAGAGATGCAACAAGCAGATATCTCGATGAATCCTTCACGGAGGTCAAGTTATATTTAGAGGGCGAATGTGCCGCGTTCTTTACATTAATGATAATAATTTTATAATGTTTTCTTTTGATCGTGTTTCACTGAAGGCCGCTGCGTGTTTCTGCGTCTTTACGCGCTGGTTTCACTTCCTGGTTGTAAAGTCGTGCGTGTGTTGCAGAGCGATTCTCCTCCAGAACAACAGGTGGAGTCACGTGTTTTGTTGAAGACGACCTGGAGAGTCACGTCTTTGTGTGTGGAAGTCGCTGGTTGCTTTATTTATTGATCATAGACTTTATTGCCCCGTGCATCCACACTGCTGCTCTTCATCAAGGACACATTTGTCCCGTATTTTCCTCCACGACTTTGTCCCCCTCGTTGGTGGAGATCTCCCTCCATGAATCAGAGGCCATCCGGCGTCCTCATAGTCCGCCAATGACGGCTTGTACAAGCGCTCATATTTAAAAGCTCTTCAGTCTGATCCGTCCAAGGGGCTCTGGTGTGTCCTTGCGTCTCTCTGAAGACGCAGAAGCGTAACTGGGCTTTGCACTTGAAGCGGAGCGTCCTTGCTAGCAGACGCCATTGTTTGCTGACTCCGCCCCCGTTGCATCTGATTGGCTACAGATTTGTGGATCTGCTCACGTCAGACGACGACAAAACCAACACACGACTGTGAAGCGATGCGCAAACAAGTGATTCTACAGATATAAATATAGTTTGTGATTTATTGATGTGCATTGACGTGTGTTTGTAAATCCTTCTGTGTGCATTTGCTCTTATTGAGACTGATCTGACATCAGACTTTTCAGGCAACAGATTAAATTAAAAGGAGGGTTTTTTTCAGCATTTCTCGGCTACAGTTTGTGGAGCTTTGTTCAATGATTGACAGCTTCCTGATGTTTACCTCTAACACACACACACGCACTCCTCTGACAGACCTCTTTTCACGGGGTGTCCGGTTGCCGTGGTTACGTCCACGGAGCCGATCGGGGGAGGTGGCTGGTGACTCACCTGGCCCAGCGTGCACTCCACCGAGCCCAGGAAGTCGGCCTCCTTCAGGCTGCCGTTGATGTCGTAGAGCTCCAGGCGCAGCCGCTGCACCTCCTCGAAGTAAAAGTCCAGCGTGAAGACCTTGGAGTAGGTGGGGTTCACGCTGCTGCGGATCACCTCCGTCCGGTCCACCTGCAGGGGACACAGTGAAATGTTTACACTCCCAGAAGACAAAAGGAAGAGCAAGAGGACAGTTAAAGCTGCATTCTGTGTAGTGACCAGCAGGGGGCGACTCCTCTGCTCCCATAGACGTCTATGAGGAAATGACTCTACTTCTCTGTAGTGACCAGCAGGGGGCGACTCCTCTGCTCCCATAGACGTCTATGAGGAAATGACTCTACTTCTCTGTAGTGACCAGCAGGGGGCGACTCCTCTGCTCCCATAGACGTCTATGAGGAAATGACTCTACTTCTCTGTAGTGACCAGCAGGGGGCGACTCTTCTGCTCCCATAGACGTCTATGAGGAAATGACTCTACTTCTCTGTAGTGACCAGCAGGGGGCGACTCCTCTGCTCCCATAGACGTCTATGAGGAAATGACTCTACTTCTCTCTTGATTTATTCCCTCAGTAAACATTGTAAACATGAGTTTATGTCTCAGTCTCTAGTTTCAAGTCTTCTTCAACACAGATGATGTTCATTGAGTGAATGATGGTCCATTTAGAGTCAAACAGACCATAAAGCAGGGGACGCTTTAGGGCGGGGCTACACGCTGATTGACAGGTCTCTACCAGAGGCCGTGTCTCAAAGTCGCTCGGCTGCATCCTTCAGGACGCTGAGACCCGTCTGTCCCAAACCGCCGTCCTCCGAACGAGGTCGAGGGACGCAGTCCTCCAGGAGCCGTTTGGAGGACACATCTCATCTGTCCTTTGCGGACCAGCATATCCCAGCATGCAGTGCGGGCCGACGAGGTTTTAAGTTATTCAGGACGGAGGCGGGTGATCCGAGTTCACTTTAAATGTAACGTTAACTAATAGAATTCACTCCGATATACCGATAGAAATGTTTTAATATAGAAAATAACATCACATCTTAGTTTACGTGACGTTGGTAACCGATGGTTTTAAATGCACATAAGACGCAGGAACAAAACCCTCTTAGTGACGACGTTAACTCCCCCCATACGGCCCCTGAGCCGGACCCTCACCTGAGCCCCCCGGGTCCATGTTCTTATGGTTCCAATGGATCAAAGTAGCAACACACATTATAACAAACACACAACGAGCAGCTCGTCTGTACTTATTAGTGAAGTTATGAAGTCAGTGACGTTACAGAATAAATACACAGAGAGAGTGAAGTGGTTTGTGGTGTGATGATGAAGTGACTTTACGTTTCCTTGTGTTTTATGCATCAAGCTGAAGGAGAACCATGTGTGTGGTGACATCAAGCTGCTGTAGTGTGGACAGATTCTCTAATATCTTAGTTAAAATATCTCGTATCCTCTGCAAGTTAATAAATGGGTTGTGGTTTTATTGAGGAATCTTCTCTGAATTAAGATTGTAATATTACTTTCAGCTGAGAGTAATTATAAATTAGTAAAGTATTACACATTATCTGATTTAATTTGAATATCAAATAACTGGAAACGGTTCTTCTCTCAGTCTGAACTGTATCATGCTCATGCAGGCTACAAGGATGCAGGCTACAAGGATGCAGGCTACAAGGATGCAGACTACAAGGATACAGGCTACAAAGATGCAGGCTACAAGGATGCAGACTACAAGGATACAGGCTACAAAGATGCAGGCTACAAGGATGCAGGCTACAAGGATGCAGACTACAAGGATGCAGGCTACAAGGATGCAGGCTACAGGGATGCAGGCTACAAAGATGCAGGCTACAAGGATGCAGACTACAACGATGCAAGCGACAAGGATGCAGGCTACAAGGATGCAGACTACAAGGATGCAAGCGACAAGGATGCAGGCTACAAAGATGCAGGCTACAAGGATGCAGGCTACAAAGATGCAGGCCAGCGATTTTCAGACCCAACTAGAGTCTCAAAGTGCTCCTCAGTCCATATAAGGTCACTTCCTGTTTACTTGTGGACAGAAACAAGATGACAACAGCTTTAATCCACGAGGATGATGACCACGTTCAGTTCTTATTCACAGGCGGTGAAAAGCTAAAAATAATCCAATTCTCGGGTCACAAATGAGGGCGCTGTGAGACAGCGGTCCCACGCCGAGGACGCCTCCTGTCCTTCTATGGGACAGATGGTGGCTCAGGCTGGAGCTCCTCTGCAACGCTCCGTTAACGCTGCTTTAATTGGTTAGTTAAAGGTTTTGTGTGAATCAGCTCAAAAGAAGTCTCAAAGCAGACATATGTATACCCTCATATTTATTCTGAGAGATCTCAGCAGAAATCTGCTTCAATCCAAAAAATACCTGGAACATTTTACAATGTTGTAAACGCCAACGGCTACCAGTGATAACGGCATCATGATGATCGATGCCTGACTACTTCAAAGACCAGTCAAAGTACTTCTAGTACTAGTAAATATACTACTGTCACAGATAAAATACAAAATACCACACTATAAAAATACTGTATCACAGTAAAGGTACTACTAACACACGGTAAATATTATGTTAGAGTAACTATAGTACCCTACATATCTCATCACAGTAAAAGTATGCACTGTACTATATATATACATGTATCTCTGCGTACATATGCTCTATGAGACCTGTCAATCAGCGTGTAGTCCCGCCCTAAAGCGTCCCCTGCTTAGATTCACTAAGAAGGAGAAGAAGCTTCATCTACATCTCTAAAAATACACTGAAGCAACAAAGTGGGGCAACAGAAAGCAGGTCTGACTGCTACAGACAGACAAACACACACACACACACACACACACACACACACACACACACACACACTTTGACCCCTTCTGAGGGACGAAGGCGACTCCATTTTCTTCTGAAGACATTGAACCATGAAAACATCGGCCAGCGGCAAAATAAATGATCTTAATTGGAGTATTTTCAAGATGTTATTAGATGTTCTCAAACAGCATAATAAGCCGTCTAAAGAGAATATTTCTCTATATATATATATATATATATTTCTCTCTCGGTTGCCGTGGCGACCTACCTCCATCCACTGGCCGTGGGACTTCATCTTGAGGACGAAGCAGGGTCGGGCTTGGACAGGGCGTCCCGGTCCGAGATGACCTTGCAGGTGATCCTCAGCTCCACCTTCGTCAGGCAGCAGCCGTCGAACAGGCCCAGAGAGCTGGCCGCTGACTCGTAGATGTCACTCATAGCTGGGGGCGGGACAGGAAGTCATGGTGACACCATGACACTACAGACTGCAACGACACACTATAACTACACACTGTAACTACACACTGCAACTACAGACTATAACTACACACTATAACTACACACTGTAACGACACACTGTAACTACACACTGTAACTACACACTATAACTACACACTGTAACTACAGACTATAACTACACACTATAACTACGCACTGTAACTACACACTGTAACGACACACTGTAACTACACACTATAACTACACACTGTGACTACAGACTGTAACTACACACTGTAACTACACACTGTAACTACACACTGCAACTACAGACTATAACTACACACTATAACTACACACTATAACTACACACTGTAACTACACACTGTAACTACACACTGCAACTACAGACTATAACTACACACTGTAACTACACACTGTAACGACACACTGTAACTACACACTATAACTACACACTGTAACTACACACTACATATGTATTATTATAATATTATTATGATGTCAGTCAACAGATCTTGAATATCAGCTGATCTTTGCAGGAAAACTGAATGAATGAATCAACAAAAATGAATGAAAAATGAATAAATTAATGACAAGATTAATAATAACAAATTATGAATAAATGAATTAATACCTGGAGGAATGAATGAATGAACAAATAATCGAATGTATAAACAAATATTTTTATGAATTAATTAATAAATACATTTAATAATTAAATAATAGACTAATGAATGAATGAACAACAAAATGAATGAATGAATGATGAGGTTTGGCTCCTCGAATCCACTCAAAGACAAGATGCTTTTAGATTATCGAAGACGAATAAAAACAGATGAATCCTGAATCACATCGGCAACAACTCGGTCTGAAATAATCAGAAAACAACACTTGCACGAATGTTCCTGAAGATCACGACGTGATATTAGATCACAAAGCAGCAGTCGAGATGAAAAAAGTGATCATGAATGAAAAAGATTAATATCAGCGTGAGATGCTGAAATCATGATGAAATATCAGAAACATCTTAATTTGGGTCTTTTACCTTAAAGAAGAAGAAGAAGAAGCTCCAGAGTGAGAAAACGCATCAGAAAGTTTGCTGATCTGATCTAAGATCAGCTCCTCACAGCTCCTTCATCCTCCTCCTCCTCCTCCTCCAGCTGCTGGAGAGCCTTTACAGCCTGCAGAAGCCTCTGCTTCATGGAGGGGAAGCCTCTCCCAAGAGGAGGAGGAGGAGGAGGAGGAGGAGGAGAGAGAGCTGCAGTGCCTCCTGCTGGCCACTCACTGGCAGCACGGATCGGTGAAGGAGATCAATCCCCTGATCAATACTTCTGTTTAAAATACGGTTTCCCACCTGAAGAAGACCGGACGATATTCACATTTGGTAAGTTTATATGACATTAAGAGACTAATAAGGAAAATTATTAGGGAAGAACAGTTTGGGCCAGAAAGAGAGTGTACAGTAATAATAACGATGATGATTATAATAAATAATAATCAAAACACACTTTTAAAATGAAATACAGTTATAACATGTTCACTATACTAAAATGTTTCAAAAACTTTACTTAATTATTCACAAAACAATTACAATCCAAGTAGGATTATAATGAATAAATATAAATATATATATATATTAATTATAAAGGTAATACCAACAAACTAGAAGATATCGTCTTTCAAAATAAAAGCATAAAGCAACTTGCGAAGGTGTCGGCCGTCACTTTACATCACAGGTCATTTAGCTGATGCTTTTATCCGAAGCGACTTACATTACATTTATAATTATAACCCATGACATCTCACATTTTGCCCAGGGAGCAATTAGGGGTCAGGTGTCTTGCTCAGGGACACTTCGACTTGGCAGCCGGGACTCGAACCACCGACCTTGTGGTTCCGGTACAGTATAGAAGAATAGAAAGAAGGATTTACCTCACGAAAAAAAGGAGAATTTGTTTTTGTACATTGATACTTTGTAATATGTTTAAAATACAAATACATCTCCCTGTGCCATGTGAGGGTCTCCGGACAGAGGATGTCGCACGTGTACAGACCGTAAAGCCCTCTGAGGCTCATTCGTAATTTGCGATTTTGGGCTCTACAAAATAAAATAAATGGAATTGGTACTTTATTACATTTTTGCATTAAATAACCTTGTTTTTGTAGGATTTCCCCTATAAACTCGACTACTGTAACAGTGTTTTACATGTAAAAAGTCAATCAGAAAGCTCCAGCAGCTCGAGTCCTCATAGGACCACATGACTCCGGTTCTCTTCGTCTAACACCGGCTTCCTGTCAAACAAAGAAACAAAGAATTCACTTCAGAATCCTGCTGCTAGTTCACGAAGCACTGACTGGTTTAGGGCCAAAGTACATTTGACCCGCCTCGGGTCTACTTCCTGTTCCTGTTCCAGGGCGAAACACGGAGAAGCAGCGCACTTTGAATGGAAATACAATCGCCTTGGCCTTTATTGTGAAGGCTTGAACCGGAACTAGCCTCCTTTCGCGGGACTTTACGCCACAGAAACAAATGCGGAAGTTTGTCTGAAGTCAAAATCCTGCCGAGAAACTAACAAAGCGAAGAGACGAGTTGAACTCGCGGCTGGAAAACTTTCGCGGGGAAGCAGAAGGAACCTGAGCGGTGAGTTCAGCCGCGTTCAGCCGCGGGAGTTTGGGTCGCGAGCTTCCGGTTGCATCGGCGGGTTTTAGGCCGAAGTGAGAGACGCTGCGGAGGAGAAGCGACTCGTTCCTCCTCAAACTCCCGGTGAGCGCTCGGTTCGAGGAGAAACTCCCGGTGAGCGCTCGGTTTGAGGAGAAACTCCCGGTGAGCGCTCGGTTTGAGGAGTAAACTCCCGGTGAGCCCTCGGTTTGAGGAGTAAACTCCCGGTGAGCGCTCGGTTTGAGGAGAAACTCCCGGTGAGCGCTCGGTTTGAGGAGTAAACTCCCGGTGAGCGCTCGGTTTGAGGAGAAACTCCCGGTGAGCGCTCGGTTTGAGGAGAAAACTCCCGGTGAGCGCTCGGTTTGAGGAGAAAACTCCCGGTGAGCGCTCGGTTTGAGGAGTAAAACGGGAGCGCGCACGGAGAGTAGTTCCGAGCGCGCTCCCGTCACAGGGGTTATTTCGGGGCGAAACCGGGTTGAGACCGACTGCAGTTCACATATGGATCGAATAACCGTTGCCGAATCGTGCAGACTAAAAGTGTCCGTTTAATTAGTTCCTTGTGTTTTGTGGAACAGGACTGAAGGAAGTTGTCTGATGCAAGTAGTATTTGGCATGAAGAGAAAGTAAAAGTACCTCGTGTGTTTGTCACGATAGCAGAATTATGACTTCTACCTGATACTGTACCTGCCAAAGTATTACGGTACCCGATACTTACGATACCACAAATACAAACTTTATCTATGATAGTAATACATAAAACATCTGTAAGGTTCCTTATTTACCTGACATCTGTTTGTCTGAGGAATAAACAATGCTTCGTTTACTTTGATATTCTCACATTTCCTGAACTAAAACCGAAGTAATGAGGTGAAGATGCATCACGTGTGTATCATCGGTACAATGTTGCGTCCGTTCTGACTGTCGGTATTTTGCGGTCTTTCTTTGTCTTGTGTTGCACTTGATGTTTGACTGAAAGTTGTTGTCTAGTTAACCAGTTTATGACAAACTAGCAAGTCAACAGTTTTCCAAACATCAAGTGCAAGACAAGACAAAGCAGACGTCCTCTTTTACCCGGACATTTCCTCCTTTAGAGACCTAACAAATGGACGTCTGGTCACGCTAGCTATGCTATGCTAAGCTATGCTAGGCTACTCGTGTTGGGCTGTATGTGGGTGAGCAGTCTGCTACACGAGGACACGTCTCCCCTCATAAGTCAGTCAATGCAGCCAGACAGGGAGACGCGGGGACACGGGGCGCGCTGATTGGGTTCTTTCTTTTCTGGTACCGGTACTAAAAACGGCGGTACCTTTCTGGTACCGGTACTAAAACGGCGGTACCTTTCTGGTACCGGTACTAAAACGGCGGTACCTTTCTGGTACCGGTACTAAAACGGCGGTACCTTTCTGGTACCGGTACACGGTGCGACGCTACTCGTGTGTGACTGTTGTTTTGTTCTTTGTGTCCAGCTGCATCATGACAGATGTTTACTCCCCGACGACGACCGCCAACCCACAAACCTCGTGTCTCGTGGTCCCGTCGGACACCGTGGGAAAGGCCCGCTGTGGGATCAAAGTGGTCCAAGTGGTGAGTTTAAGGACGCCTCATCTATCCGGACTCCGCGTTACGGGAGTCTGGATGTCCCTGATTCCCCCGTGGACCAGAGAGGTCCCAGAAAACCTCGCTGCTGCCACAGCGTCTCCGTCCTGGTTCTTACAGGCCTTCTTTCAGCAATGCATTGTGGGTCTCCAGCAGTGTGGAGTTGGCCTCCAGAGAGGAGAAGCTCTGCTCCTGAAGCTGGAGGAGACTGGAGGATCTGGGTCTGTCCACGGTGGACTGGTCTCTGTGGAGGATGTGGGTCTGTCCACAGTGGACTGGTCCCTGTGGAGGATGTGGGTCTGTCCACGGTGGACTGGTCCCTGTGGAGGATCTGGGTCTGTCCACGGTGGACTGGTCCCGGTGAAGGATCTGGTTCTGTCTACGGTGGACTGGTCCCGGTGGAGGATCTGGGTCTGTCCACAGTGGACTGGTCTCTGTGGAGGATCTGGGTCTGTCCACAGTGGACTGGTCTTTTTTGATTGACATGTATGCAAACTCTGGACCCACAGGCGTCCCCCTCCTGGTCCAACCAGGTCTCGGACCAGTCTGCAGCCCCTCGTGTCTCCATCTCGTGGTTGATCAAAAGTAAGATGCAATGTTTCTGACAGAAGGTCTCTAGGGGGACGGTTGTCTCCGTGTCCCCTGTGACCTGCAGAGTGGGAAGTGAAAGTGCTGCGTTGGCAGATCCGACGCTGCTGTTGCAGCAGTTCGGAGGCCGTCCTGCATCCGGCGTCCGGCTGGCATGCTCCTCATGTCCTCATGTCCTCATGTCTGGGACCGTTGGATAGGAAGAGGATGTACTTTGATGTCAGAGGAAGTATTTGTACTTTTACTGCAGTAAAATACCAAAGATTGGATTCCGTTGTTTTGGATATTAATGTATTTACATCCCTGTTGTCTTAGTTTGTGATCCGTGGTCACATGACTCAATCGTGATGTCATAGTTTCCCAGAACCTACAGTTGTTATTTAAAGGAAACCCTTTATTTGTGGAGAGGCTTTAATTAACATTAAAGGCCGCCGCGTGTTTCTGCGTCGTTTCACTTCCTGGTTGTAAAGTCCTGCGCGTGTTGCAGAGCGATTCACCTCCAGAACAACAGGTGGAGTCACGTGTTCTGTTGAAGACGACCTGGAGAGTCACGTCTTTGTGTGTGGAAGTCGCTGGTTGCTTTATTTATTGATCATAGACTTTATTGCCCCGTGCATCCACACTGCTGCTCTTCATCAAGGACACATTTGTCCCGTATTTTCCTCCACGACTTTGTTCCCCTCGACCGGCAAACCGGCGTCTGCGGCGACCTCCCTCCGTGAATCCAAGCGCTCATATTCACGCATTTCTTCCCACAAAAGTTCCTAAATCTGATCCGTTCTCCCGTAAACATCCTTGGTTTTAATAGCGGCCGTATCGGGCTGTGAAAGCGGAGACGTGAGTCCTCGTAAAGGACGTAGTTAGAGGACCGATCGCAGCCTGGCGCTGCGGGAGGAAAATGTCTCGACACGCGAGGAGGCGAGAAAAGCGTCGCTGTGAAAACGCAGAAGCATAAACCAGGCTGAAGAGATACTGGGCGTAAAGCCGGTGCCTCTTGGCATTAGGATGATAAGTTTAATAAAACACCACAAACAGAACTCGCGTTTGCCTCATTTCTTAGTTCATTGTGCTCATGCTGATGTTTGGGATTGAGTTTCATATCATCGCCGGTTGTTGGTTTGCCGTGAGAAAAGGTTGAAACACACTGGACTCTAGCGATACAATGAGGGGGCGCGGCTTCCTGTTGGCTTCAGCTCTTTGTACTGGTGCATGCTGGGAGCTCAGAGCACCGTGGACGGGTTCTGTTATGTATTTATTCTACGCGATGTTTTTTATCAGCTTTGTGAGATCCAATAGAATTATTTCACCAAATAAACTGTTTCATATTTAATTACTTTTGTTTTTACAAAAATGAACCAACACTAAAGATATTTAGCTGATTATTAGAATAAATAAACATTTTAAATCAAGACGTCCCTGTGTCTCTGTCCCGCCCAGCTGCTGTCCTTCGTGGCCTTCGTCCTGGAGGAGAATGTCCTCCGATGCTCCAGCTGCTTCGCTCTCTACTTCTTTGAGTTTGTGAGCTGTACGGCCTTCCTCTTCACCCTGCTGCTCCTCCTCCTCACCACCACCACCCTGCAGACCCGGGTGGGCATCAAATGCTGGCCCAAGCTGGTGAGACCGCCGCCTCCTCCTCTTCTCATTGGTCCTCAGGGGTCATCGATGAGGTCATTGTCAATTCGTCTCTCGATTCCCATTAACAGTCCGATCTTTGATAACCATCACCGCGTTTGATCCCAACGCACGCAGGAAGACGCTGAAACATCCCACAATGTGTATTTGTACGACGTGAGAAGAAGTGAATACATTTTTAACTTCAGAAGGAAGGAAAGGCCGAGTTTTCGACCAATAACTGCTGACCTGCACTAGTTTACACCGCTTGCTCTGAGTGAGGCAGCGTCCTCTTACTGAATTTCAAAATAAAAGTCCCTGCGGCGTACAGCAGCCGCGGCGGTGGGTGGAGCCCATGGGTGGATGTCCCTGAGGCTGGGCGACTTCCTCACACCAGAGAGTCCGTCTCACCCTGAGCCGAGCCCCCGGGGGGAGGAGCTCACTGGGGCTGCTGGGCGGGACGCTGTTACCATGGAGACGAGAAAATAACACAATTTGGTGTATTTTTAAAAATACTAGTCATTTTTCTTTAGAAATAAAGAATTCTGACATACAAAAACTTTCATTAAATCAAAGAAAAAAATGTTGAATTATTCATGAATTGAATCAATTTAAAAGGGTTTTGACCCTTTAAAAAAAAGAGTCCCAAACAGGTGGAAGCCTTTAATTAATACATCTATTATTCAGTACCGCGTTGATAGATGAAGGAAGCGCCGCCTGGCTCTCTGCAATCCGCCTTCAGCACCGGCGTGGACGCCGCGTCCTGCGTCCACGCACGGAAGTCCTCCTTCAGTCTGATCCGTTCTCTCGTCAACGTTCTTCCTTTTAATAACGGCCGTATTGTGCTGTGAAAACGGAGACGTGAGACTCTAATGGACGTAGTCAGCGGACCAATCACAGCCTGGCGCTGCAGGAGGCTGCGTCGCTTTAGACGCTGGTCGAGAAAAGAGTGAAAAAGGTGTGATTTTGGTGTCATTGAATTACTTCATTCTGCTGTTTGAATCTATACAAATCATTTATTAGTTGATTATATTTAGTTTTAACAATGCAAGTCTACAGATTTAACTTCATAACTTGTTTTATTAAATCAGAGGTTATGACAGCGCCAAGCTAGCCGTCTCCAGTCTTTATGCTAAGCTAACAGTGCAGAAGACAGGTGTGTGTTAATCAGTAAACAAAAGGCTTCTTCTTCTTCTGCAGGACTTTGTGTACACCGGAGTCATCACGGTGACGTTCTTTGTCTCCTCCGTCATCTTTGCCACCGCCCACGGTGACTCCTCTGTAGAGAAAGCTGCCGTGGTGAGGAAGCTCCTCCTCCTCCTCTTTGTTACCACCTCCTCTGCTTCCTCCCGTCTCCTCCTCCCTCACGTCGTCTCCTCCCCTCCCTTTCCTCTCACCTCCCCTCCTGTTGCAGGCGTTCGGGTTCTTGGCGTCGCTGATGTTCTTCCTCGACATCGGCCTCTTCTGGAAGAAAAATGGTTTCCCCTTCCCTGGAAACAGGAAATGTGAGACCGATGCCGCGGAAACGGAAGCCCGCCCGGAGGCGGAGAAGCTCAACACGCTGCCCGACGGCGAATAGACCCAAATCCACACCGACCATTTCACGCACTGTTCCTTTAAGGCGTGGGCAGGAGGCGGAGCTTCAGCGACCTGGGCTCCACTTTTAAAGTTCTTTCCTTTTCTGTTTTTTGTCCCGTCGGTGGTCGTCGTTCCACAGCTGACGTTGTCAATATAATCAATCTGTCAATCAGCGCACAGCTGTCTGATAAAGATGAGCCTCTTTGAGAACGTAGAACCCTCGAGAACAGACGCTGAGATTATTTTGTAAAAGTTTAATAACCCCTATCAATCAAAAACATTTATGGATTCATTGTCTTTTTAGTTCCTTTTTTAAATTTATGAATTCATTGTATTTCTTTGTTTTTTTAACTATTTTGACATTTTTATAACGCTTTTTAACCAAAAAGAATTCCACAACATTTCACAAAATACTTTTTAGTCTACACTTAATGATGATGATGATTAAAACTCATAAAACTGTATTTTTGTCAACCATTATTGTTATTGTTGTAAAAGCCAATAACTAAAGTAAAGAACTTGTATTTCAGTGGGACCAGTGTTGTTGTTTGTAGTTTGCTGTCAGTTTTATTGCATTTCTCAGGCCACTGTGATCCGTTAGCTGTGATCCGTTAGCCGTTAGCCGTGATCCGTTAGCCGTGATCCGTTAGCCGTTAGCCGTGATCCGTTAGCCGTGATCCGTTAGCCGTGATTCGTTAGCTGTGATCCGTTAGCTGTGATCCGTTAGCTTCGGGAACGGAGAAGCGTTCCTGTATCTTTACTATAATAATAATAATAATTCTCAAAACGCTCAACGGGCCGGATAGTTGCCCCACCCTTTGGTTTAGACCCTGAACACCTCACAAAGAACAGTCCGCAAATAAAGTGTTTTATTAATTTGAAAAGATAATCTACACTAAACAAACACAAGTCAAATATATCGAAACAGTCTTATTCCAAAGTCTTTATTTCCACCAGATGTTAACGACGTGTCGCCTCTTTGCGTGACATCACTTCCTGTTCATCTCCACATATTTTCTTGTGTCCTTTTTGGTTAATTTCTGAAAGCTGAGATTTTTGTATTTGAATATTCATGTTTTGATTTTATTGTCCTATTGTGTTTTTGTTTTTTAAATTGAACGGTTTATAAACCATAGATGCTGTTCTGTCAATTTTATTACATTCTGAACATAAAAAATGGGGAAATTATTCTGTGATTTTGTATTTTTTCTGCTTTGGATAAACATTTTTCTAATTCATTTGAAAAGAGTTCTTAATTCGCTATGAGCTGGTTGGGCCTCGCCTAAGCCAGTCTGAAAGTGACTTAACGTGGTTGGATGTAGATTAAATAAGGGGGAAAACAAGGGATAGAACACGAATACATAAACTGTCTCCGTGTGTCCTGCTGCTTTAAATGACGTAAAGGAACAAAGGGGCTTCACTGCTTTTACAAAGAAGCTTCATGAAAGACACTTTACACTTTACAGAGGAACGAACCACCGGGACATTAAAAGGAAACTAAACTGATATTTAGCTTTTCAAATGTTTAAGGAGTAAAAGACTTTGGTTCCAAAGTCGGGAGACAGAAACCATGAGATCAGGTCAAAAATACAAGTGGTAAAATAACAATATTAATGGTTGTTCTCAGAAGGGAAAAATCTCAGATTAAAATGACGGATTTAATAAAACGTATTGATTACAGATCAATATAACAATCACCGTTTATTAGGAATCTTTGATAAAATATATTTATATATTTCGCATCAGTTATAAAATCTCACACATTTATACGTATATAGATGTATATGTGTGTGTAGGGTTATACACGCATATGTACACTGTGTACTTTACACGTACACGCATATGTACACCGTGTACTATACACGTACACGCGTATGTACACTGTGTACTTTACACGTACACGCATATGTACACCGTGTACTATACACGCGTATCGTTTGGCGGAATATTTGTACATATTTTTGTAATGATATTGTCCTCCGGTGGACCTCCTCCACCGGGGACACCTGTCTCGATGGTGAGACCTCTTCAGCAGGGACACAGTGTCCTGTGGTGAGCCTTCTACAACGGGGACACCTGTCCTGTGGTGAGACCTCTTCAGCAGGGACACCGTGTCCTGTGGTGAGACCTCTTCAGCAGGGACACCGTGTCCTGTGGTGAGACCTCTTCAGCGGGGACACCGTGTCCTGTGGTGAGACCTCTTCAGCGTGGACACCTGTCCTGTGGTGAGACCTCCTCAGCGTGGACACCTGTCCTGTGGTGAGACCTCCTCAGAGGGGACACCGTGTCCTGTGGTGAGACCTCCTCAGCGTGGACACCTGTCCTGTGGTGAGACCTCTTCAGCGGGGACACCGTGTCCTGTGGTGAGACCTCTTCAGCGTGGACACCTGTCCTGTGGTGAGACCTCCTCAGCGTGGACACCTGTCCTGTGGTGAGACCTCCTCAGAGGGGACACCGTGTCCTGTGGTGAGACCTCCTCAGCGTGGACACCTATGGTGAGACCTCCTCAGCGTGGACACCTATCCTGTGGTGAGACCTCCTCAGAGGGGACACCGTGTCCTGTGGTGAGACCTCCTCAGAGGGGACACCTGTCCTGTGGTGAGACCTCCTCAGCGGGAACACCTGTCCTGTGGTGAGACCTCCTCAGAGGGGACACCTGTCCTGTGGTGAGACCTCCTCAGCGGGAACACCTGTCCTGTGGTGAGACCTCCTCAGAGGGGACACCTGTCCTGTGGTGAGACCTCCTCAGCGTGGACACCTGTCCTGTGGTGAGACCTCCTTAGAGGGGACATCGTGTCCTGTGGTGAGACCTCCTCAGAGGGGACACCTGTCCTGTGGTGAGACCTCCTCAGCGGGAACACCTGTCCTGTGGTGAGACCTCCTCAGCGTGGACACCTTCGTCGTGGTGAGACCTCCTTAGAGGGGACATCGTGTCCTGTGGTGAGACCTCCTCAGAGGGGACACCTGTCCTGTGGTGAGACCTCCTCAGCGGGAACACCTGTCCTGTGGTGAGACCTCCTCAGCGTGGACACCTGTCCTGTGGTGAGACCTCCTTAGAGGGGACATCGTGTCCTGTGGTGAGACCTCCTCAGAGGGGACACCTGTCCTGTGGTGAGACCTCCTCAGCGTGGTGGAACTAGAAGGACCCACGTCACACTGCTCCCGCCCCCCTTTCATCTTCCTTTCAGAGATGCTCTTGGCCAATCAGAGGGCTTCATGGTCCGCCGGCCGCCCTCCTGAGTGGCGTTCGAGGACCCCCGGTTCCAGGTGTGTGCGTCCGTCCTCCTCACGGTGACTCAGCAGGTCTGCAGGTTTATAAGGAGGACAGCGGCGCCGGGTCCGTCACCACGGAGACCATGGCTCGTCTGCTCCACACCGCCTTCCTCCTGGTCTGCTGCCTGGAGCTGCTGCAGGGCCGAGCCTCAGGTAGACACACCTGGGCCCGGGACTGTCTGTCCGCCTGTCTGTGTGCCTTTGACTGTCTGTCTCTCACTGTTTGTCTGTCCCTGTCCGTTAGTCTCCCTCTACCTGTCCGTCGTCATTACCTGTCTTTTTCTGTTTCTGATCAATAGTCGATACATGTGTACATATGTCTATGTGTATGTACACATGTATATATGTGTATATATGTATGTACATGTACACATGTACATACATATATATACAGAGCTCTGCACGGCTCTACTCATCCTCACCCGATGATCATTGACACGTGTCTCCTTCCAGAGTACCAGCTGGACTCGGAGATGCTCGGCCAGTGTGAATCGCTAAGGGCCGCAGCTGTTGCCGGGCAACGAGATGACCCCCCCCACTGTGCCCACGATGGCGGATTCAGGTAAGCACCCTAATTCTCTATTTACAAAATAAAAGTTTCCCAGATATAGTATTAGGCCTCATGCAATAGAATGTGTGCGTGTGTGTGTGTGTGTGTGTGTGTGTGTGTGTGCGTGTGTTTGTATGTGTGTGTGTGTGTGTGTGTGTGTGTGTGTGTGTGTGTGTGTGCGCGTGCGTGCGTGTGTGTGTGTGTGTGTGTGTGTGTGTGTGCAGGCCCGTGCAGTGCAGTGGGCGGGGTCACGAGTGTTGGTGTGTCGACCCTGAAGGTGTTGAGGTCGTCGGGACTCGAACCAACAACTCTGCCACTCACTGTGAGATACTCTTATCACATTAAATATATCTACTTCTATATATATATATGTATATATATACAAAGTATATATACATATAGAAGTTATCACTTATCTAAACTCATTGAGAGAAAGCCCATCTGTCTCTGTCCACCTGTGGTCTCTGGCTCTACCTGTCTGTCTCTCTGCAGGTGCGTCCCCCTGCCAGCAGCAGGCGGTCCTGCGTTGTTCTCCTTCGGGCCTGTTTGAGTCTGTTCAGTGTGAGCCCAGCAGGGGGCAGTGCTGGTGTGTGGATCAGGATGGGATGGAGCTCTACGGGACCCGACAGGACGGGACACCTGAGCATTGTACAAATACTACTGATACTACGGATACTATACATATATACACACACATATATGTACATAGGGACACTGCTGCTGTGGGAACTATAGCTACCAAAACTACACAGCCACTAGTACTAATAACTCCAACCTGTTGACCTTTGACCTTCAGGTCCCGGCAGCTGTGAGGTGAGGACCAGACGCCTCCTGCACGGCCTCAGGTCTCACTCTCCTCCTCAGTGCGCCGCAGACGGGAGCTTCCTGCCGGTCCAGTGTAAATTCATTAACAGCACCGAGGGAGCCGAGCTGGACCTGCTGCTCGCCTTCAACAGGTAGCCCACCTGTCTGTCTGCTCGCCTTCAACAGGTAGCCCACCTGTCTGTCTGCTCGCCTTCAACAGGTAGCCCACCTGTCTGTCTGCTCGCCTTCAACAGGTAGCCCACCTGTCTGTCTGCTCGCCTTCAACAGGTAGCCCACCTGTCTGTCTGCTCGCCTTCAACAGGTAGCCCACCTGTCTGTCTGCTCGCCTTCAACAGGTAGCCCACCTGTCTGTCTGCTCGCTTTCAACAGGTAGCCCACCTGTCTGTCTGCTCGCCTTCCACAGGTAGCACACCTGTCTGTCTGCTTAACTTCAACAGGTAGCCCACCTGTCTGTCTGCTCGCCTTCAACAGGTAGCTCACCTGTCTGTCTGCTCGCCTTCAACAGGTAGCCCACCTGTCTGTCTGCTCAGCTTCAACAGGTAGCCCACCTGTCTGTCTGCTCGCCTTCAACAGGTAGCCCACCTGTCTGTCTGCTCGCCTTCAACAGGTAGCCCACCTGTCTGTCTGCTCGCCTTCAACAGGTAGCCCACCTGTCTGTCTGCTCGCCGTCAACAGGTAGCCCACCTGTCTGTCTGCTCGCCTTCAACAGGTAGCCCACCTGTCTGTCTGCTCGCCTTCAACAGGTAGCCCACCTGTCTGTCTGCTCGCCTTCAACAGGTAGCCCACCTGTCTGTCTGCTCGCCTTCAACAGGTAGCCCACCTGTCTGTCTGCTCGCCTTCCACAGGTAGCCCACCTGTCTGTCTGCTTAGCTTCAACAGGTAGCCCACCTGTCTGTCTGCTCGCCTTCAACAGGTAGCCCACCTGTCTGTCTGCTCGCCTTCAACAGGTAGCCCACCTGTCTGTCTGCTCGCCTTCAACAGGTAGCCCACCTGTCTGTCTGCTCGCCTTCAACAGGTAGCCCACCTGTCTGTCTGATCGCCTTCCACAGGTAGCCCACCTGTCTGTCTGCTCGCCTTCAACAGGTAGCCCACCTGTCTGTCTGCTCGCCTTCAACAGGTAGCCCACCTGTCTGTCTGATCGCCTTCCACAGGTAGCCCACCTGTCTGTCTGCTCGCCTTCAACAGGTAGCCCACCTGTCTGTCTGCTCAGCTTCAGACTCTCTGTCTGTGTGTTGTTTCAGGTTCCCAGAAGCCTTTGAGACATTCGGTAGTTTCAGGACGTTTTTCCCGATGGTTTCCTCGTTTTGCTTCTGTTCAGACAGCCGAGGCAGAGAGCTGGACAACACAGGTACACACACACACACACACACACACACACACACGCACACACACGCACACACACGCACACACACACACACACACACACACGCACACACACGCACACACACACACACACACGCACACGCACACACTGGAGATGATGCTAATGATGATGAGGGGGTGAACTTCCTGTCCAGGTGTGGAGCTCCTCCTCTCCCAGGTGTACGACTCTGCGTTCTCGGGGCTGCGGTCCGGTCGCTCCGTCTCTCAGACAAACGTCTACCGCGTGCTGCAGAGGAGGATGCTGGGAGTTCTCCTCGCCCTCACCGGACACTTCAGATGTAAACCATCACCTCGCTTCACCCAAACGGGTCCCCAGAGTTATGAGCACATTTAAACCAGTTAACACCAGTAAACCAACGGCAGAGGAATGTCTGGACCAGCGAACACTGGTTTGAACGTTTGGTTTCCATGACGTGAACTGGTTTGAACTGGTTCACCCCCCTCAGGTCCGTCTGCCTGCGAGGAGGAGCGGCGGGCGGCCGTGGAGACATCCGGCGCTTACGTCCCGTCCTGTGAGAGCGGAGGAGCCTTCACCTCCAGGCAGTGCCAGCAGGGGGGGCAGTGCTGGTGCGTGGACCCGACGGGGGCGGAGCTTCCTGGGACGCGGCGTCTTGGAGACTTGGTGGTCTGCGGTGAATATTTGATCATCCACATTATTGTTTATTTTAATCTCTTTACTTTTAACGCTGTGAAGTCAGTAAACCACCAACAAATACCAAATGGTATATTTTTACTTTTTTATAGTAATTTAGTTTTTGGTTTCTATTTTATATTCATGTGAAAATATCTGGATTCATCACTAGAACATTTTATAAATTACCCATAAAAACATCATCACAGTCTTTACTGAGCGGAGCCTGAATAAGTTGGTTAGCCGTTAGCGGTTAGTTGCTAACGGTTGTTGATTGGTTGAAACGTTATTTGCACTCGGATGGTTAACGATGGACGCTGTCCTGTCCCCCAGGCACGGGTCCGTCTGTCTGTCCCTCTCAGCGCCGCGTTGCTCTGTCTCGGCTCTTCTCCGGTCCGGCGGATCCGTCCTTCCGGGCGGCCGCCGGCAGACGCCCGGCGTCCTGTCTCGCCCTTCTCCGGCCCCTCGGGGAGCTTTTACCTGCAGGGGCGGAGCCCACCTCCTTCCTGTCTCTCCTGGTGGAGGTCCTGCACGGCCTCTTCCCCTCGGTGGGCGGGGCTCTGCAGGCGCTGGCTGGCTCCTCCCCCCGTCGCCTCCAGGAGAACCTGTTCGGAGGGAAGTTCCTGAAAAACGCCGCCTCCTTCAACTTCAGCGGCGCCGTTGGAGCCCGCGGGGGCGCTCGGGCCCCAGAGCGCCAGCCTCCGGCAGCACCGGGACCTGGTCCGGGGCCGTGAGCGGCGCCCTGAAGGACCCGGCCTTTCCTCTCGGCCTTTCAACACACACTGAGGAGCAGCTCGTCCGCTTCCTTCGGTGCAGCAGGTCGGACTTCGTACAAAGTAAAAGAATGAAATTTCTTCTTTCTGCCATCGAAACTGATCCTGCACGGAAACGCCTCCAGGTCCTGCGCCTCTGCTGCCGTCCTGCTCGGAGGACCAACCGCCGGCGGCCATCTTCGTCCCTCGCTGCACGTCCGGTGGAGGTTTCCAGGAGGTGCAGTGCTGGGCCGGGGACTGCTGGTGCGTCGACGCTGGAGGTCGAGAGGTCGCCGGCTCGCGCACCGCCGCCGGCCGGCCGCGGTGCGCCAGCCGCTGCGAGAGGCAGAGGGCGGCGGCGCTGGAGGTGGAGGCGGAGATGGCAGCCGGCGCCGAGCTCCACGTGCCGGCGTGCTCCGAGGACGGCGACTTCCTGCCACTGCAGTGCGTGAGGGGACGTTGCTTCTGCGTGGACGCCGAGGGGACAGAGATGGACGCCGAGGGGACAGAGATGGACGCCGAGGGGACAGAGATGTCTGCTGTCACATGTAAGATATCACAGGTCTAATGTGGATCCGGGTTCTGGGCCTGAGGCCTCGCGGAGGGAAACGATTCTAAGGAACTTTAAGGAGTTTCATCCTGGACTGAAAACAAAGTCATGAAAGGTCGTCTTTTTGTTTCAGGTCCAACGAGGACGACTCAGGAGCTTCAGTCATCTAAAGGTCAGAGGAAGCTAAATAATCCATGTTGTGATCCAGTATTATACAGTAATATGTAGTTGTCATATAGTACGAGGCTGTAGTAGTAGTAGTAGTAGTAGTAATATCTCTTATTTGGAAAACTAAAATAACTGGCGGTGCCTCTAATGGAATTTAAGAAGAACAAACAAACAGACAAACAAACAAACAAACAGGTCTATGCGTCTTATTAAGTCGTTCTATCTTATGGTTCAATAGTACCACTTTTAACAGCTCTAACCAGAACGTTGTGTTCCGGACTTCAACACATCAAACAGGCTTCAAAGGCGGATTACACGTGAACACGTGAACACGTGAACACGTGAACATTAATATCAATTATATTGACATGATATCAGTTAATCCATACATTAATATAACATGCCCCCTCCACTAACATTTCTCTGATACGCTGACCCTGACCGGCATGCCTAAGCCCCGCCCCTCTACCTGAGAATGGAATTGGATTGGCTGTTGATTTCAGGACAAGCCAATTAAACACAAACAAAACCGTGACTGATGTCTGTTGTAGATACACACAAACGATACACATTTGCATGAACTGTGATATTAAGTCTCTTATTGAAGCACATTTAATCCACCTGTTTCTATTTATCGTATACTTGTACTATGTACATACTTATATCACTGGGTTTTAGAAAACTATTCATGTCTAAATGAATGTTGTTCCCGGGCTACACTCAACATTTTAGTGAAACATGAAATCTTAAATACAAAATAAAGCTGGTGGAGCCACACTGGCCCATCGGAGCTGAATGCTAACGCGTTAGCGACGCTAAATGGCCTCCAATGCTAACAGGGAGCTGTGCCCGCGCGTCAGACGAGGTCGCCGCCTTCAGACAGGAAGTGGAGAGCATCGTCGCCGTCTCTAACTCCTCCCACCTCCCGCTGGGATACGGATTCCTATTGGCCAGAGGTCTGCATCTGACCCCGGAGGAGCTTCTCGTCGGCCAATCGGAGGAGGAGCTGCAGATCGCCGACGGGCTTCTGGGCCGCTCCGACGGCGCGCTGCGACTGGCCGCTTTCTCCAGTGAGTCACGGTCCGATGGTGACGTCACACCACGAGAAACAATACTAGTACACGTGTATCATGAAGCTTTTTAAAAAGCTGAATACATTCAGAACTGAAGTTATTATTTCTAAAAAACAAAATACTAAAACCTAATAGTATTATTACCTCTCTGAAAACAGCTGTAAAATGTCAATAAAATCAAATAAGATTTTATTTTGGCGAACATCACATCACCTTCGTCCGCCCCGACGTGTGACGTGTAATCAGCTAAAGTCTCTTCAAGCGGGATTAAGAAACGTGCTGTAGGAACGCAGTGAGATGAACGTGTGAATCCTCCTCCAGCGCTCCAGATGTTCCTGCCCCCCCGACGTCGCTCCTACCGGCTGTTCAACCCCCAGTGTGAGAACGATGGAGAGTGGTTACACACCCAGTGTTACCACAGCACAGGTACACACACACGCACACACACACACACACACACACACACACACACACACACACACACACACACAGGTCTTCTTCACCTTGTCTGTGTTCTCAGGTCAGTGTTGGTGTGTTGATGAAGAGGGAGAGTACATCGCTGACTCTCTGAGCAGCCGCTCACTGCGCCTGCCTACATGTGAGATACCACACGCACACACACACACACACACACACACACACACACGTATATTCATCTTGTGTTCCCCTGCAGGTCTGACGCGCTGTCAGAGAGCTCAGACTCACTCGCTGCTCTCCGGTTGGATGAAAGGATCTGATGACGTCACTTCATTGTACCGACCGGAGTGTGACGAGGCAGGAACACACACACACACACACACACACACACACACGAACGATGACTAAATGTGGAGAGAATTTACACAAACTTTGTCACCAACGTCCATCTGGACGCTGGAGGTCAAAGGTCACTGTGACCTCGTAATGTTTGATGACCTAAACCTTAAGGCCGTATTTCTAGTTCGATGGGTACTTATCTTGTTGTATTGTGTATTGTGTGTGTCTGTGTGTGTCTGCGTGTGTCTGCGTGCTTCAGGACGGCGGCTTCTCCGTGCTGCAGACAGGTGGCGCTGCTGGCTGGTGTGTGAACCGTGTGACCGGGGAGACGATGCAGATGGCGACGCGGAGCCCTGCAGGACACCTGACATGTACACGCACACGCACACGCACACGCACACACTGTCCAAAGCCTTTAGCGATGCGTTTGCTGTCGGTCCGTAAACCTGGGTGTTCCTGTGGTGCGTTCAGGTCCCAGCTGGTGTGAGCTGCGGGGCTCCCAGTGTCGCCCCGACGGCTCCTTTGTCCCTCTGCAGTGTGACATCACTTCCTGCTGGTGCGTTGGCGAGGACGGACACGAGGTGGGCGGGACCCAGACCCCCCGGCGGACGGGCCGGACGCCATCATGTGACCGTGAGTAGGAACAGAATGGGCGCCACCCAACGGGCACGGAGGAGGCGGCTGATTGGTTCCATTCACTCTCCTGTCCAGGTCCCCTCTGTCCCGCCCCCGCCGTTACCCATGGTGCACTGGTGTGCCGCCCGGCCGCCAACGGTGAGCAGGGTTGCGACCTCATCTGTCACCGGGGTTACCAGAACGCGCTGCCTGTCAGCAACTTCCTGTGCCGGACCGAGAGTCGCCAGTGGGACGGAGGCGACGGGCCGGTGGGCGGAGCCTGTCGGGGTACGAGATCCTTAAAGCAACACGTCATGATTTAGTTTATATTCACTATTTTCAGTTTAAAACATTAATTAACAAGGTTGTGGCCCTTTAAGACTTTAATGAATGGGTGAAATGTGTGTGTCCCTGTGTCTGTCCCTCTGTGTGTGTGTCTCTGTGTGTGTCCCTGTGTGTGTCTCTGTGTGTGTCTCTGTGTCTGTCCCTGTGTGTGTCCCTGTGTGTGTCTTTGTGTGTCCCTGTGTGTGTGTCTCTGTGTCTGTCCCTGTCTGTCCCTGTATGTGTCTCTGTGTGTGTCTCTGTGTCTGTCCCTGTGTGTGTCTTTGTGTGTCCCTGTGTGTGTCTCTGTGTCTGTCCCTGTCTGTCCCTGTATGTGTCTCTGTGTGTGTCTCTGTGTATGTCCCTGTGTGTCCCTGTGTGTCCCTGTGTGTAGTCCCTCAGCCCCTCCAGTCGGTGTCGTCCTCTCAGCTGTGGACGTTGTCCTCGTCCTGCTCTCAGATCAGCAGCCTACGGTCCCTGTTGTCCTCCATGATGACCAGCAGGGGGCTCTGCTCTGCACAGGTGGGCACCGATGATGACATCATCACCGTCAATTGGCACCATATTTATGATTCATATTATTATTGTTAATTACTATTAATAGTGTTATTAACGTTATTATTATTTATTTTATCTATTCGTGTGTCTGTGTGTGTCTGTGTGTGTCTGTGTGTAGCTCCCAGTGTCTCCTCTCTCCGTGTCGTTGTGCGATGACTCCTCGGTGAGTTTGTTGTGCGTTGGTGATGACACTCTGAAGGTAACCTTAACCTGGACCGCCCAACTTTCTGACCTCCCGACCTCTGACCTCCCCGACCTCCACGACATCGGTGAGCACTTAGTCGTCGTCCTCCTCCTCTTCCTCCTCCTCTTCCTCCTCTGGAGTCTTATTTTTACATTCTTCCCATCAGGTGTTTTCATGAATGAGTCCAGACTCCTGGAGGGCATCCAAGGGCTTCTGGGTAATATCCGCTCCATGCTTTCATCACAACCTCGTCTTGTCTCTGTGACGACGCCGAGCTTCGGTTGTTCCCATGGTTACCGGCTGGCTGGAGACGGCGAAGTCTGCGGTGAGACGCCGTCCTTTGGAATCAAACCTCCGTCAGCTCGGCTGTCGGAGGTTTGATTCCGTTTTGTTTCCGCAGTTGTCTGTCCCGCTGGGAGCTACTCTGGGGAGGGGGCGTGTCTTCTTTGTCCAGAGGGAACCTATCAGGACGAAGAGGGGCGGGACTTATGCCACAAGTGTCCCACGGGCTCCTCGCCTCCTGGAGCGTCATCTGTCAATCAATGTCTGACTGAATGTCAGAGGCGGGGCCTGCGTTGTTCGGAGCGGGGCGACTTCCTCCCGGCACAGCCCGACTTCCTGTCCGGCAGGTGGAGGTGCTTCGACGGCAAGGGGGCGGAGCTTGAGTGGACCAACAGGGACGAGCCTTGGACCGATGATGAGTGCTCAGGTGGAGTCTCAGCAGCCAATAAGAGGACAGTGTAGTTTTATTTGTGTGGTCATTGTGAAGCCCTTTGTGACCTGTGTGTGTGTCTGTGTGTGTGTCTGTGTGTACGTGTGTGTTTGTGCTGCAGTTCTCAACAAGTTTCAGGCTGTTCCCGGATCAGATCTGATTGTCAGAGCTGAAGACACAGAAGTCCTGCAAACGACGACCTCTGACCTCACATCCTGTGTGCAAGGTGACGCACACACGCAGACACACAGACACACACACACACACAGGCCCACACACACGTTGTCGTTATAATGGTCTGTGTCTCTCTCAGCGTGTGCAGTGGAGCCGTCCTGCCACTATGTGGCGCTGATCAACCGACGGAGTGTGTGTGAACTGTACAGCACGCACACAATGAACACACACTGCAACGCCTCCCAGCAGGTACACACACACACAACGCACGCACACAATACGTCACAGAGCTTCAGTTTCTGTTGCGAGCTGAAATTAAAGATCACAGATCACAGAAGGCTGATCAGTTCAGTAACCACGGCAACACTATATCGTCCTCTCCGCCACAGCCGCTGAGGCTCATGGGTAATGTAGTATTTAGAGCTGTCCAATAAACTAAATAAAAATCCGTGCATTTTAAAGTGATACTTTGTTTTATTCTCTCAGACCATTGGCTTTCTGGGTAATTCGCGGGCCGAGCTCTTCTCTTCGCTGAGCTGCTCCCTGAGAGTGAGGGGCGGGGCTTCCGACCTGCTGGTTGTCAGGAAGAAAGGTATCGTAACTACGGCAACCAGACGACTGACGAGATGTCGAGACGCACTGCAAATGCTCAGGCGCCCGTGTGTGTGTGTGTGTGTCTGTGCGTGTGTGCGCATCAGGAGAGGAGTTTGAGAGGATGACCATGACGAAGGCCGTCTCAGGTGTGTTCAGGATACAGGTGTTCCCTTCGGGAAGGACCTCCCTTTCCGACGCACACCGCTTCTGTCAGGACGGCTGCAGCCGCGACGCCTGTTGCGACGGGTTTGTCCTCAACCGGAACAGCCTGAGTGGAGGTGCGTTGCCGTGGAGACGCACGTCAGCTGAGCGACAGGATAATCAAACCCCCCCCCCCCCCTCTCAGGTTCTCTGCTGTGCGGTTGGCTGAGAGCTCCGTCAGTCTTGATGTGCGGGGACAAGGACTGGGACATGATCGGACAGGGGACAGCCAATCGCGTCTGTGGGGCGGGGCTTGCCTACAACGAGAAACAGAGCAGCTTCGTGTTTGACTTCGGAGGAGAAAAGTTCAACATTAGTAAGAAAGAATCTTAATTCTCATTCTGGTGATTTATTCCCTCAGTAAACATGAGTTTATGTCTCAGTCTTCTTCAGTTCATTTAATAAATGATGCTCCATTTAGAGTCAGACAGAAGCTTTAGGGCGGGGCTACACGCTGATTGACAGCTCTCTTCTTCATTGTTGTCAGTGTGTCTTCACTTAACAACCATTGATCGCTGGTGACCTTGACTGAGGAACAAGTATGTACTTCCTGTCTCAGATCTTTACTTCCTCGTTTCTGCCTCCAGATGAATCGTCTCTTCCGGCCGACACGAAGAACCAGAAGGACTACCAGGCCTCCATCGTCAGCTTCCAGGCCGTCTACTTGAAGCCCGGTAGCTGGACTCGAGGTCACGGTGACACTAGCCCCGCGGCGCCGCTGCTTCATCTTTGTTGTCTCACTGGTGTTGTTGTTGTTGTTGTTGGTCAGATGGTGATTCAGCAGCTGGTGGTTCTGATTCTTCTTTGTGTGCTGCAGCAGAACTCAGTCCTCCTCCAGATGGTAGGTACTGCTTCTCAAGTACTGCGTTAGTACCACAGAAATACTTACGAGGTACTGGTACCTCACAATACTAGTTAAGTAACAGTAACTACCGGTTGCAGCTCTACCGAGGACGTGATCCAGGTATCATGTGTGTTTGTGTGTTTGTGTAGACTCGGTACAGATGAAGTTCGACTCTCTCTCTGAAGAAGACGTGCACGTGGACCCTCTCCGTGCGCTCCCCTCGCTCTCCTTCTGGCTCAACAGGAAAAACTACGACTCCCAGAAGGCACTGCTCTGGTGCCTGGCAGGTAGGTCCCGCCCCCCGACGGGCGACCGGCTACCTCGCGCGTCGGTCGATGAGTACGTTTCATGTTTTCTCCTCAGGATGCGACGGCGAGCCTCGTTGCTCCGTGGCCGACCTGGGGGACGCTGACTCGCCGTGGTTGTTCGCTTGCTCGATGCACGCCGACGGCAGCCAGTGTGGAGCGTACCACGAGCCGGTGAGGAGGCCCTGCCGGCCCCTGCCGGGCAGACCCCCCCCCCACACACACACACACACACACACACGCATATACTCACTCACAGGCTCACTCAAATACATACAGACGAGACAGGAGTAGTCCCGTTCTCACTCAGCAAAGGGAGTATGGACACACCCCGAGCCCGGTGATTTTTTTTCTCCTCTTGTGTGTGTGTGTGCGTGTGTGTGTGTGTGTGTGCGTTCAGGTTCATGGAGTGTGAGCGGCGCTGTGATGAGGATCCTTGTTGCCGCGGCATCGGCTTCGTCCAGGACACTGAATCGTCAGGTAACCATGGTAACCAGGAATACATATGTATATATATATATATATTGTTACAAAATATTAAATGTGTGTGTGTCTGTGTGTAGCAGGCGGGTCCGGCGTGGTGTGTGTGTCACTCATCAGTCTCGGGGTTCAAACCTGCAGCGAGGTCGCCATGACGACCGCGAGGACTCAGGACTGCTCCCCCTCTGTGGTGAAGACCTCACCGGGACCCCTTCGGCTGGTACCAGAAACCCGGTAACGATATATAATAATATAATATAAGTACACACACTCACACACACACACACACACACACACACACACACACACACTCACGTGTTTAATGAGTTCTGTTTGTGTTTCCAGTCAATCAGTGGAGTTCTTCTCCGGCTCTTTGTCCTCAGTTCAGCCTGCCAACAACCAACGGTACTACTGCTAGTACTACTACCACTACTACTCAATGCATACATAAAGTAAAGTACTGCTACTCCTATTTACAATACTACTGTCAGTATTAGTAATACTACGCCTCTGTTTGTGTCCCAGTGTCTCTGGACCAATGGCGTCTTCTCTCTGACTCATCATTCCTCGTGGACCCGTCCATGCGCACGTATGATGTCATCCACGTGAGCCGTGACATCGCCACCAACAGGGAAAAGACCAGGGACTGGTGTCTCCATGGTAACCGCTGCTGACCATTAAAAGAATTCATTTGACTGAATGGCTTCACATCGCCGTCGCTTCCTGTTTCAGCGTGTCAGGAGGCGGAGTCCTGTGTCGCCGTGTCGCTCAGCGAGGAGGCGTCCGCCACCCGCTGCGTCCTCTACCCCGACACCACGGCCTGCGGGCTGAACTCCGCCCCCAGTTCGTCCAGGCCCGCCTCCTCCTGCAGACTGGTCATCCGAGAGCCTGCCCCCAGGGTGTACCTTAGGACAGGTCAGACCAATCAGGGAGAGGAACCAGCCGTCCAGACAGGCAGCAGCCAATCACGGCCAACTGCTTCATCGTCTGTCCGTCCTGCTGTTCTCTGCAGAACGTCTGTCCACGGTCACGTCCTTCTCCGTGCCGGGTCATGGGACCCTGCGGGGCGTCGTCGTGGAAACGTCCCTGGGCTCGGACAGGAAGCGGGTGGTTCAGTTCCTGGGCGTCCCGTACGCTCGTCCGCCAACCGGATCGCTGCGCTTCGAGGCAGCTCGGCCGTCTGATTGGTCAGGAGACTGGGACGCCACCAGGCCCCGGTAACGCACCGCAGCGCTCCCAGAGGACATCACGGTCCACGTGCAGGGTCAACGTCTATAATAACAGGCTGTTGTTCGACTTTAGGACACAACAGACACATGACGATGTACGTTCTGCTGGTGATGCTGTGTACTTGTACTTCAGTCCTAGTTGTATCCAGCCTGGTGATGAAGACTCTCCTTCCTCCAGTGAAGACTGTCTCTACCTCAACATCTTCACTCCTGCTTCTCTGGTCAGAACTTGTTGCTATCAATAACTTATTATTGATTCCTAATCGATTAGGAGGATTGTTTATATTACTAATTGATTTGACAATTACATTGATGATCAGATCTATTATGAGGTCATCAAAGTAATGTTTATTGTCCAACAACACCAGCTGATCCTTAAAGGTCACAATAATATTTACCATTCTGCATCATGCTTGTACTTATTTTTGTCAGAGGGGGCGTGTCCCAGTCCTGGTTTTCTTCTTCAACCCCTCGGCCAATCAAAGCCCAGGCCTGTTGGATGGCTCCGCCCTTGCTGCTGTGGGTGATGTGGTTGTGGTAACGGCAAGCTACAGAACCGCAGCCCTGGGATTCCTGAGCACAGGTAGACACCGGGACATCAGTTACTATGACAACACCCAACATCACAGTTATTGACTTTAACGCGTCCTGCAAGTTTCGTCTGGTCTCCGTGGTAACTACGGGCTGTCGGACCAAGAGGCGGTGCTCCGTTGGGTTAACGCCCACATCTCTCTGGTGGGCGGAGACAACAGGACAGTGACAGTCGGGTCGGAGAGAGGAGGCGCTGATGTCACCAGCCTTCACCTCCTCTCATCTCCCTCTCCTCCTCCATTCCAGCGCATGATGCTGATGGTGAGAACTTCTCCTCCTCCTTTATCTCCTCCGCTTCTATCTCCTCCTCCTCCTTTATCTCCTCCGCTTCTATCTCCTCCTCCTCCTTTATCTCCTCCGCTTCTATCTCCTCCTCCTCCTTTATCTCCTCCGCTTCTATCTCCTCCTCCGCTTCTATCCTTTATCTCCTCCGCTTCTATCTCCTCCTCCTCCTTTATCTCCTCCGCTTCTATCTCCTCCTCCTCCTTTATCTCCTCCGCTTCTATCTCCTCCTCCTTCCTTATCTCCTCCGCTTCTATCTCCTCCTCCTCCTTTATCTCCTCCTCCTTCCTTATCTCCTCCGCTTCTATCTCCTCCTCCTCCTTTATCTCCTCCTCCTTCCTTATCTCCTCCGCTTCTATCTCCTCCTCCTTCCTTATCTCCTCCGCTTCTATCTCCTCCTCCTCCTTTATCTCCTCCTCCTTCCTTATCTCCTCCGCTTCTATCTCCTCCTCCTCCCTTATCTCATGGTATTCTTCCTCCTTTTACTCCTCACCTTCCTTTGTCATCTTTCTCCTTTTCTATCTCCTCCTAACCTTCTTCATCTTCACTGTCTCCATCTCCTCTCCTATCTGCTCCTCTTCCTCTCTTCTCCCCCCTTAGTATTACTCCTTGTCTTGCAACATGGAAATATATTTAGGTATAATAATATAATGTATAATATTATAATACTATAAATAATATATTTTAAGTGTCCTGTCGTTGGTTCTCCAGGGCGGTTCTGTCTTTTCTCCGTCACTGGTCCAGACTTCCTCCGCCTCCAGACGCCGGGCGGTGCATCTGGCCAAAGAGCTCGGCTGCGTGACATCTGACCTCCCCGACGGCGATGACGATAAGATGGCCGCCTGCCTCAGAGCGGCGCCTGTGTCCGCGCTGAACGCCGCTCAGACCAAAGTACGAATCGACCCCTCGAACGTTCCTTCATCTCAATGGAAACAGTTGTGATGACGAGAAGTAGAGAACTAGAAGTGCAGAATAACACACTTATATGGACATAAATCAATAAAAATGCTCATTTATTTGACAGAAATCGTAAAACAATAGAATCTACTTGATATCAGTGTTACATTGTTATGTGTCTCCTGCCTCTGAGTATTTGTATTATTTTCTGCCGTTCGTCGTTCACCAGCTGATCTCATGACATCGTTTGTTCTGTTGATGCGTTGTTGTTGATGCAGCTGTTGGCGGTCAGCGGCCCCTTCCAGTCCTGGGCTCCGGCCCGTCCGTCCTCGTCCCGGCCCTCCCTCCACGGGGTCGACCTCCTGCTGGGGTCGTCGCAACACGACGGTCTGATCGGCCGCGCTCGCAAGATAAAGGTCAGAGGTCACACAAAAACCAGCTCAAACGCCGTCATAGGGGCCGTCACTGAGATGACAGGATGGACACATGCGTCATGTGGGCAAATAAGGAGACGTTCAAAAGGTTAATCAGTCAACGGACTCTTCTATGATTAAAACGTGTTAAAATCATTCAGGCTTTCACAATCTTTATTATAGAGAGCGATGGAGATATTTCAGCACATAACGTCAAACGATTAGAGAATTCCTACGTACATCAGTCTAATCAGAGACCTTCTCTGTCTCCAGGACTTCGAGGCCCTTCGGGGTCGAGCCGACGGTAAGACGGCGTTCTACGAGGCCCTGAGCCGCTCGCTGGGCGGCGTGACAGGAAGTGACCCGCTGAAGGAGGTGGCGGCCTGGATTCTACTCTCTGGATCACGGCGCCTCGCCTGCTGGGTACAACCGGTTCTCCAGGGCGCTCGACAACGCTACCAGGTCAGACAACGAGGCCTTCAGCGTCCAAAAAGAGCAAGCAGCTAACACAACAAGCTAACGGCTAACTCGTGCAATACAGTTTCTATATCTGTCTGTCCGTCCCTCCAGACACCTGGCGACAACTTTGAGTAAACACAGAGATTTGGTTCTCTGAATGACTGTTTGTTTGTTTGTTTGCTTTGCAGAGATCTGTTTATCATCTGTCCCAGTCTGCAGATGGCTAGCCACTGGGCTAACAGCAAAGCTAACGTCTTCCTGTACCACCAACCTGCCACCAGCTCTCACAACAGGTACTGACAGCGGACACACTAATGCCAACGCTAGCAAGTGGTTTAGCTAGTTTGATAGCGTTAGCGTACCAGGCCCCTTCACCTGGTCACTGTGTTTTCTTTACAACCGTAGCTTCCCTTCGACTCTCTGCCACTGAGCCAATCAGGGCCCATGAAAGATATTGATCGGCTGTTTCTTGCGCGCAGGGCCGATGCGTCTGTTCCTCTGGATGTTCAGTTGGTGTTCGGGACGCCTCATCATCCAATGAGCTCGCAGCGTTTCACCTCCTCTGACCGACGCCTCTCTCTGGCCATGATGACCTACGTCTCCAGCTTCATCAAGAGCGGGTCAGATCAACGCTCCTTCAACTAGCAATCGTTAGATGAACGCTTGTTTGATTACCTCCTGTTTGATCAAAGATTGATTGATCAAATTTCATTAGACTAACTCCTCTTAGATCAACTCTCATTAGCTCAAAAGTCCTTTAAGGATTAATGATATGTTTATTTAAATTGAACTATTAACACTCGTTATCTTACTCCTCATTGGATTAACTCTTTAGATTAACAATTGATTGATCAGGACAACCGTTGTTGGATAATAAGTATATTTTTTATCTGTTTTATGTTCCTCAGGAACCCAAATCCCGTCACGTGTGTGGGCGGGAGTCAGTTTTGCTCCGCTGGCAGCCGGGGCTGTCCTCTTCAGGCCCCGCCCCACTATCTGCAGATAGGCTCCGCCCTCCAACAGCGTCAGGGGCTGAGTCAGAGCTCCTGCTCTTTATGGAGCCAACTGGGAACCAGTCTGAGCGGTGAGCAGAGGAATAGTTCTCTGAACTAATTGACTAACATGGGCTAGCAAGTTTTATTTCTTTTATTGCTGTTTTGTTAGTGCCTAAATATGAGTTTCACTTAATTAGTTAGCTTGCCTGTTCAAGTCATTTTTTCGTCTTACCTCTCTTGTTGTCCATTGTCTTACTTTATGATGTTATGCCCCAACTGCCAAGTCAAATTCCTTGTATGTCTAACATATTATGGAAATAAATGTTCCTGTTTCCTGACCTAGGTATATCGGGGGCGGAGCCTGTCCAGCTTGTGGTCCCTGAGCTCCCATTGGCTCTACCATCCAGCCAATCACAGACTGAGAAAGATGCCTACAACTAAACCAGGGACATTATTGTCATCATCCTTTCCTCTTGTGACATGTGAAGAAATCAAATCTGTGTTAATCAATAAAGAAAATAATTTACTATTGTAAAGTATTGGTACTTTTGATTTTATGTCACATTTTCAACATAATACATCATGACTATCATTATATTTTTTGACATAACATTTTGTATTTTTTCATGACATATATTCACATAATTTAATCTAATTATCTCTATCACATTTTTTGGCATACTATATATATTAGGACTTTTATTGAATTACTTTGTTTTTGATGCTATGCGCTTTTTTTGACACTATAGTTTTTCTGTACTACATTAGCATTTTTTTGACACTAACTTTTTTTATGACATAGCATAATGTGATATTTGATCGGCTTTAACACCATCATCTGAGAGATAATATAAGATATTCCTTTATTAGTTCCACAATGGGGAAATTCACAGGCTCGCAGCGACACCACCACCGTGCTAACCACCTAACACCACCACCATGCTAACAACATAACACCACCACCGTCATAACCAACTAACACCACCACCATGCTAACAACATAACACCACCACCGTGCTAACCATCTAACACCACCACCATGCTAACAACATAACACCACCACCGTGCTAACCACCTAACACCACCACCATGCTAACAACATAACACCACCACCGTGCTAACCACCTAACACCACCACCATGCTAACAACATAACACCACCACCGTCATAACCAACTAACACCACCACCATGCTAACAACATAACACCACCACCGTGCTAACCATCTAACACCACCACCATGCTAACAACATAACACCACCACCGTCATAACCACCTAACACCACCACCATGCTAACAACATAACACCACCACCGTCATAACCACCTAACACCACCACCATGCTAACAACATAACACCACCACCGTGCTAACCACCTAACACCACCACCATGCTAACAACATAACACCACCACCATGCTAACAACATAACACCACCACCGTGCTAACCACCTAACACCACCACCATGCTAACAACATAACACCACCACCGTCCTAACCACCTAACACCACCACCATGCTAACAACATAACACCACCACCATGCTAAGAACATAACACCACCACCGTGCTAACCACCTAACACCACCACCATGCTAACAACATAACACCACCACCGTGCTAACCACCTAACACCACCACCATGCTAACAACATAACACCACCACCGTCATAACCACCTAACACCACCACCATGCTAACAACATAACACCACCACCGTGCTAACCACCTAACACCACCACCATGCTAACAACATAACACCACCACCATGCTAACAACATAAAACCACCACCGTGCTAACCACCTAACACCACCACCGTGCTAACCACCTAACACCACCACCATGCTAACAACATAACACCACCACCATGCTAACAACATAACACCACCACCGTGCTAACCACTTAACACCACCACCATGCTAACAACATAACACCACCACCGTCATAACCACCTAACACCACCACCATGCTAACAACATAACACCACCACCGTGCTAACCACCTAACACCACCACCATGCTAACAACATAACACCACCACCATGCTAACAACATAACACCACCACCGTGCTAACCACCTAACACCACCACCATGCTAACCCACCTAACACCACCACCATACTAACTCCCTACCACATAACACCACCACCACCAACGTGCCTTTGACAGACAGGTGTCTCTCATCCAATCACAGTGAGGCATTGGTGGCTTCCACCCGTTTGTTCCAGCTTGACTGGTAGCGTTCTAACATCATCTAGATACAACAGAAACATGTGGCTGGCTCAGATCCGTGTGTCAGGAAAGTATTACATACATATATGATACAAATATTAACATAAATATGACTACACAGTCCTCACTAGTTACACTGTGACTAAGAGTGGTTTGGCTCGTCATTATGGGAGTGTGCCAGGCTCCTCCCCCGTCTTCACCTGTGTGCAGGTGGGGCAGTGTATAAAGGACTCTTTCTCTGGATGGAAACAGACTCCACCAGTCGCTCACAGTGAGATCTTTGTCACAAACTGTTTTGGGATTTTCTGCAGAAAGATGGAGGCACGGTTCGCACTCTGGATGGCTCTAGCTTTCGCCGCCTCAGGTAGGTTGTTAGTTTAAAGTGGTATATGTAAATATATTGTGCTTTTGTTACTGAGTCTGGATTTTAAAATGTGATGACTGTAGTCATTCTTTTGCTAAAGAAAAAACAATGTGCTAAATGTTCTTATTCCCGTACTTTAGCCTTAGTTCCTCTTTGTTATTATTTTGTTTGCTCAACATCTGCCTGCTTCTGCAGGCAGATGTTGAAAAAAGTAATATTTTAGTGAACCATTCGACGATGAATACTGATAGTTGAGTCATTAATGAAAGTTATAACAGTGTTTAATGACGTCTGGTGTTATTCAGAGTGATGAAACATATCCTGTTATAGACGAAACATTTGTGAATCACTTTTGTTAAATGTTTGTTTGCTTTTGTTCTTTTTTGCTACAGCAGCAACATCTGGATCCAACGCTACTGATACCAACACCACCAGTATACCCGCAGCAGCAACAGCTGGATCCAACGCTACTGATACCAACACCACCAGTATAACCGCAGCAACAACAGCTGGATCCAACGCTACTGATACCAACACCACCAGTATACCCGCAGCAACAACAGCTGGATCCAACGCTACTGATACCAACACCACCAGTATAACCGCAGCAACAACACCTGGATTCCAAGGCTACTGATACCACCACCACCATTATATCCGCAGCAACAACAGCTGGATCCAACGCTACTGATACCAACACCACCATTATACCCGCAGCAACTACAGCTGGATCCAACGTTACTGATACCAACACCACCAGTATACCCGCAGCAACTACACCTGGATCCAACGCTACTGATACCAACACCACCAGTATACCCGCAGCAACTACACCCGGATCCAACGCTACTGATACCAACACCACCAGTATACCCGCAGCAACTACACCCGGATCCAACGTTACTGATACCAACACCACCAGTATACCCGCAGCAACTACACCCGGATCCAACGTTAGTGATACCAACACCACCAGTATACCCGCAGCAACTACACCCGGATCCAACGTTACTGATACCAACACCACCAGTATACCCGCAGCAACTACACCCGGATCCAACGCTACTGATACCAACACCACCCTCTCCAGTTCCAGTGCCACAGTCAGCGGCTCGCCTGTCTCCGTTTCCCCAGATAGACCAAACACATCTCAGAGCACGACCCTCGACCCGTCCCCGGCCAGTGGTGGAGTTGGGGTACCCGGTTGGGGAATTGCTCTGCTGGTCCTGGCGGCACTGGTTCTGCTGGCGCTGCTCTTACTGATTGTCGCACTGGTGAGTCGGGCTGAAAAAACATAATCGGTTACTTGTTGACATTGGCGAACATTTTTTTCTCTCTGAAGTTAACAAAGTTAACAAAGCAATCTTGGAGAACGAAACCATTGTAAAATCTGTGCTTGGGGCTGACGTGGGTGTATATGAAGAACTAGAACGCATGGGGGAGAAGCAGGACGATCTCCGTCACACAAGCTGAGAGTCTTTCACAGGGTTCAATGTGCTTGTCTTCTGCAGCTGGTGTGGCTCTGCTGCTTCAGAGGGCGAAACAACCACTTCAGTCCCTACAACAGCCTGAGTAACAACGACGGCGTCCCCCTGTACACCACGCACACCCGCTTTGACGTGCCCGACAAGAGGAACTATGTGAGTCAAGCGTCTCAAGATACGGACCTCTCAAAATACATCACAATGTCCCCACAAAGATACACAGCAAGGTTAATGTCCGCAATGGACACGTCACACAGAGACAGGACAGAGTGCGTTGGCTGTGACTATGTGAGTCGTGCAGTCAAACTGAGCAAATCTGTCTCTGGGCGTGTGTGTGTTGACTTAATAGAAGTCATTATTCACCTGTGTATTTTCAATGCGTCACGGTCAACATTTACTCAGGAAACGTGGGGGGTGATAGAACAACCAACAAGTATTAGTTATTATTAATTACATTATATTGAATAAATAGGCTACAATTTTAGTAACGTTAAAGGAAGGTTTAAATATGTTTTGAAAAAAACAAATCTTTATTAATCTTGAATCTATTTTCTCTTCAATTTTTTTAAGCAAATTTAATTACTCAACTTTTCCTTCACTAAAGTCTGAATCGCGTCTTTTAGTGGAATCCTTCACAAACCCTGTCCTGAGACCTTCAGGTAGGGCAGATTTTGGATCGCTAAAAAGAAATAAGCAGAATATCATCCATGTTTTTTTAACCATTTATATCTGCAGTGAACCTTTGAAACTCATGAAGAACCTGAATGTTCTTACTGTTTGGAGGAATGAAGAAGATATAATAAAGTTAACAGAGTAATCATTTAGGTAGTCATAGAAAATAGATATCTTTCTTAATATAGTAATATAGTAAGTGAAAAAAGCAGGAAAAGTTCATTAATGCAGAAATTCCAGTTTCATTTTTTACTTTAGTTATTTGCAATATTTGATGTTAATATCTTCACTACTAAATGTACACGTAACTATTATCCTATTGTTCATATATATTAAGTTATCGCTTATCTTACTTATGTTCTTATCTTTGGGTGTTTTTGATTATGTGATAATGTCTTACAGGAAGAAATGAACAAAGCCATGAAGAACAGGACGGGGGTGTACACGGTCAACCATTAATCACGACATCATCTAATCCTGAATTTTTATTTTCACATTTCTTTTTTCTCTTTATTTTTTTAAATGAATTTGTATCCTTTTTGATTTTTCTAAACCTTTAAACTCAATTACAATTCATCTTACAGCTACTTTTACTTATTGTGTGTCAAGCCCAGCATTTAAAAATACAATAGAATAAATTATGGAGGAAATGCAACAAATGGTACTTTTCTCGTTACAAAAGATACTTTTTACAAAACCCCAGCTAATATATTTAACAATTGTTAAATAATGTTAAATAATGTATATCTTGAATACAATTAATATAATATAATGTACTATCATAAAATAAAATTACTATAATGTAACGTATTTCTTCTATTACATACTTTAGAATTTGAATCACACGATTGATTTTAACTTAAAATAAATTAACTAAACTGGTAGGAAGATTTTAAACATAATCATGTCTTTTCCCCTATAATTAATTTAATTAATTTATATTCAAATGATAACAGTTATATAAAAGAAACCTCTCTGACAGTGTGTAAAATATTAATATTAATAATACTTTCTACATAGTTTGTAAAAATATTGTCCAACACATTTAAATTGTAGTTTAGTAATTTATCATTCAAATGATGAACCACAATCTAATATATTTTTTGTATTTCTTTAATTTTTGATTTGAAATCTATTTTCAGATGGCATTGATAATAATAATAATAGTAATAATTATTATATTTACATCGTGATGCAAATGCACCTGATACTGAAATAAAGTAGATTTTGTTATTTTATTCTCGAGGTGGAAAAGAAAGTCGTTGTGACCTGTTTACAATGTTTCATCACTTTGATCTCTTCGTCTTAAAAAAGGCCAAAGCATGGAGACAAATAACAGATCAATACGTGTATCCCGTCATTGTTATATTTTAATTATTTTGGTGATGAATTTAAATTATTTCTTAGAAATGTCTTGTGATGCTGCTTGTGAACATAGTAATAATAATAATATATCTTATTAATATTACTCTACTGTATTCCTGCAATAATTATACCAATTAAAATGAAATTGACAGTTCTTAGGGCCTGAGCCAGTTTCGCTTCCCGTCAGAGACGACGAGGCGTCGAGCCACAGGAAATGTCACAAGTTACAGTGTTTGATTCTGGAGTGATGGAGCTGATATGGACATAAAGAAAGTGGGCGGGGCTAAGATACTGTGAGTCACTCAAAGACAATCCTTCAATATTTCATACTTCATGTGCAATCAGAATCATTGATACGGTTTCACAGGTAATTATTGCTCTCTGCTGACTAAATAATACGATTATTATTTTACTCTGAGAATAATTCTAACAATAACAATATATATATATATATATATATAAATATACACTGCCTGAGCATAAAGCCATATCTGAACACCTTGACAAATCTGATGCATTTGTTTGCAGACTGGAAATGAATATTGAGGGTTATATATTTAATGAGACAAATCAATTAATAACATAAACTGTGTTACTCACGTTCCAAGTGTATTTAAAGCTGTCTAGTTATTTCATTATAACAGTTTGAGGGTTTTATACTAATCACAAAACAAATAGTAAATAATATATAATATAATAATAATATATAATATATTTATTCAACCATATTTTCAGGAATCAAGTTCTGGTGGAAGAAAAGGTCATTAATTTATTTATTTTAAATAAATTAACATTAACTTTTAGAAAGACAGGAATCAGCCACAAATATGAACACAATGTGAGCTTTTATTTTGCAAACTATGAATCCTAATAAAACCAGTGAAGCTCCAAAGTGTTCCTGCCCCTTCCTGCTGGAGGCCGCCGGGGTTACAGCATCTTCTCAGGAGGGGTCAGAGGTCGGAGGTCCTCCAGGCTCTTCAGCCACAGCTCCAGAGCAAACTTGGTCCCGGTGCTAACTCGCTCCACGTCCGGCCCGCAGGCCGGCGCCCGGCCCAGCAGAACCTCCAGAGGCAGAGCGGCCTCGCTCAGAGCTCCATCGGAGAAGACCTGAGACACACTGGGGACACAGCGGGAGGTCTAAGGACACGGGGGTCACAGCTGCGTTTTTACTCTCTGATCATTATAATAATACAAATTATTATCATTACTATTATTGTTATTAGGGCCTGAGCCGACTGAATTGTATTGTGCTTCGAAGAATTATTATTGTTATATCGCCACTTCAATCGCACTTTTGAGGCCTTTTTCATATTCAAAAACTCTTGAACTTTGACGTGTGAATCAAGTGCAAAAAATGTAGATATTCTTGGGGGGTCGCACATTTGGGGGTAAATAAATTTTGACTTGAAATTGAATTTTGTGTAAAACATGTTTTTGCGAACTCCTCCCAGACGCTGGGTCCGATTCTCACGAAATTTCCAAGAAGTCATTATTGGGCGAATACCATCTAACATTATTAAAAGCTTGTTAATATCTCATTGGGTTTTAATGTTATGCACCAATGAAGTTGTGGGGGGCGTGGCCTAATGGTTAAAGACCTATAATTTCAAAAGTAATTGGCCCCTCCTCACCAAATCGCTAGGATATGTTCACATTGAGCGTACCCTGGTTTTTTCAGAATATTTGAACATTAGGGGGCGCTGCAGTAATTCTCTGAATTCTTGCTTGTTTTTTGCAATTTCCATCGTATGTTGGATTTACAAACGAACAAACTCCTCTGAGAATTTGCACCCAATCGACTTCATGTTCGGGCAAATTGATCTTGACACCTGTGTGGTCAAAAGGCATTAAAATCAGGAGTTTTCGTGAAACTACCTGGCCGCGGCCTGGCGTCCATTTTGGTCGATTTTGGAAGATTTTCTTGAAATTGTAAAATGTTATAACTCCAAGGAACGTTTATATTTCTGGCCAAAGTTACTTATTCGTGATGCTAGTTTAGGCCTTTAAAGTATTACATGCAGTCATTTTCAAAAAATGATAGCGCCACATATTGGCAAAGGAAAATACAAAAGTTTTACACTTTTACGTGCGATTCCTATCCCTTTAATCTGATCGTCCTCAAATCTGTACAGCGAAGCCAAAGACTTTGATGACAGCTCTCTGAATACTGGGAGTTTTTGAAAAAGTTTTTGATATTTCCGTGCTTTGGCAAACTCAAAACCTCTTGGAAACGTCTGTCAGTGTCCGAGCTGATGACGTTACAGAGTTAATGTGGAGTTTGGGGTCAAAAGTGGTAAATTGTCTCCTGGCAGTTTTCAACAACGTTGCCCTGTTTAACCTACACGTATGACGATTTTTGGACATATGTAAAACAGGGACACTTAAAATAAAGTCTCCTGGCACCAGGCTCGAAAATGAACAGTTACAATTTTTTTTGTGTCAATATCCATCTGCATCCAGGACGCGGTCAAAGCAGAAGCCGCACACTGCTTGTTCCTCCCTCACGAGAGCAAAACACTCGGACCTCAGAGTCTTTAGAGACGCAGCTCCTCCAACTCTACCTCGACTAAAGAGACGAAACACATCGCAGCCCTTCATTGTACTCTTCAATGGCTCTTATCTATAGCAAGTTGTAAATGGGCTTGAAAAGCACTTATTGTAAGACGCTTTGGATAAAAGCATCAGCTAAATGACATGTGATGTGATCATAAATCAGCCCCAGAAACGCTTTGATCCAGCTGCACGCATCTGGATTCCACTGTCACTCTATTAACTGAAACGTTACATATTATTTTGGAAGCATTTATTTCAACAAGTGGGCTGAAGGTTTGCTTTGTGGAACCAAGTGGAACCGACTCGTGATTCGTGTCTTCCGGACGGCTTACAGAGAGACACCCGTCCCTACAACGTGAGTCGAGGAAGGACGGACTGTTATCTGAACAGACTCGTCTCTCCGTGTTTCTGCGGCTGATTAATGAATTTAAAAATCTGAGATTAGTTAATCTTGTGAATCTATCGATTGCTCTGATAATAATGCCAATGACATTTTCTTTTGATGAAGACGGGTGAATACAGGTGTCCTACCTGACACTGCCCTGCAGGTGGTGCAGTGGGACGTGTCCGTCCTCTGCGTCCACTGAGGACACCACGGCCCCCACCAGCTGCCTGTCGGCCCACAAACAGGCGCTGACCTCAGCGGGGGACGGCCTCAGAGACGCCTGGAGACGAGCAGAGGACACGGGTCGGATGAGATCACGTCGTCCTCTGATGGCCGGACCGAGGACAGGGACCGGGCTCAACTCACCTGAAGCTGCAGGTGAGACAGACGAGAGAGCAGCAGCATGTAGACCACGATGTGATGTCTCTGAGGGAGACCTCTGGACAGCATGGGAGGATACACCGACTGACGGGACGAGAGGACGAGAGGATGATACATGAAGACAGGACAACGAGGATTATAGACCCAAAGGGCAGGAAGACATGAGGACATGAGAACAAGAGGATGGGAGGGAAGAGAAGACAGGACATGAAGACAGGACGAAATGAGGATGAGATGAAGACGAGAGGAAGGGAAGACGAGAAGACAAGATGGGAGGACAAGAGGATCAGAGGACGAGAAGGCAGTAGGAAGACAGACTGTGTTTATATATATTTAGTTATATAGTAATATATTAATAATACATTAATTAAAGTTGCTCTACTTTATTGTACAGGTATCGCAGAGGTACTTATTGTACTTTTTACTCTACTAAATATCACAGCATCCCTACAGTGTGGTATTAGTACTTCTACTACTGTGAAGGACCTGAATACTTCCTCCTCAGGTGTCTCACCTCCCAGAGTCCCAGTATCTTTGGAGACACTCCCTCCGGTTCCAGGTCCAGTCCAGTCTCCTCCTTCAGCTCCCGGAGGCCGGCTTCCAGCAGCTATGAAACAACAAGCTTTTATTCTGGCGGGATAGATACTCAACATCCAGAGAGGAAATGGATTTACCGTCTCCTCTGGCTCAAGATGGCCGCCTGCAAGGGAAGAGAAACAGGAAACATGGAGGTTAAAAATGTGATGCGATGACAACAGGGAGATAATCAACATAACGCCGCTTCCTACGTTTCCCACAATGCAACTGTGAGCGTCACACCTGGAGGGACCCAGACGTTGGGAAAAATGCGAAGTTCCTTCGCCCGCCGTGTCAACAGCACCCTCCGATTGGCCGTCTGCAGGATGATGGCCACGCCCACGTCAACGCCACGCCGCTGAACGTCCAATGGGATCGCGGCCGACTGCGAGACTGACAGGTGTTTGATGGGACAGAAGGCGGGCCTCTGGGAGATGCAAATATTAAAGAAACAAACATGCTACGGTCGGTTGTCTGAGGCACGTTTCGTCCCCTCCGACCTCAGCGGGGGACATCGTCCTCTCTCAGCTGTCCACAGACTCGTAGTCAACGCAGGAAAAAGGCTGATGCTCTGTGGGGATTTCTAGTAGTTTCTTTACGTCTTTGAACAGAAACACATCATGTGAATAAATGTATCGCTAATATGAAAATGATGAATAGGACATAAGTGTCTGACCTTCAGAGGCGTCCCCCGTCTTCCGTCTCCTCTGAAAAGGACGAACTGTTTCCTCTCCAAAGAGCAGCTCACCTCCACCTCGTCGTCTCCTCCGTCACTGAAGTGACCCGTCACACTCTGACAACACAAGACGGAGAAGAGGAGGAGGTGTAAACAAGCGGGTGGAGGAGAAGGAGGTGTAAACAACTGGGTGGAGGAGAAGAGGAGGAGGTGTAAACAACTGGGTGGAGGAGAAGAGGAGGAGGTGTAAACAACTGTGTGGAGGAGAAGAGGAGGAGGTGTAAACAAGCGGGTGGAGGAGAAGAGGAGGAGGTGTAAACAAGCGGGTGGAGGAGAAGAGGAGGAGGAGGAGGTGTAAACAAGCGGGTGGAGGAGAAGAGGAGGAGGAGGAGGTGTAAACAAGCGGGTGGAGGAGAAGCTGTCGCCGGTGACATGGTGGACGTGTGCGAGGTTGACCTGGACAAACTGAGCTCGCTGAGGAGCTGATTGGTCCTTACAGACGTGGACCAGGACCCTCCTCACTTTGTCCATGCTGCGTCCTCACCTGGAGGACAGGTAGAGGTATCCTCTGAGGACAAAGACACCTTGTCCTAAAGGGGGAATAAAGTGATAAAGGTCAAAACTGTATGTAATAAAAAAAGCAAATCAGTACAAACGTTTGTGTTTTTTTATTTGTAATCATCAAATAACAAACATGAAATATACTGTGAACAGATTCATTTAGATAATAATGTATATATTTATTGCCTCGTTTATGTATTTAATGTCACTATTCCACTGGCACATATGTATATATTACCCAGATTTAGTTAAATATATGAAAGATATTTTCCCTCTATGTTGACAAATCTATTAAATTGAATCCATTGAAGCGTGTTAATTAAATTATTTAATTTTGACACTTTGTCTTCTCTATGATCATCTACATCTCTAACGTGACCGACTTCAGGTTATGATGTTTAATGTGTGTTTCAGATGAGCCAAAGACTCGAACAGCCCCTGCTAGCATGTTGCTAGTTAGCTGGCTAGGTAGCTACATGCTAACTGCTGCGGGTAACTGCGGCTAGCTTGCTGCTACGTGGAGAACTTGCACCACAAACATCCGCTGACTTTCGCTACTAGTGAACTCATTTTACAAAAGGTTCAATTATTGGGATAAAGAAGAGTTTTCCACATTGACCTCCACAGATCTTAATTTAATTTAATTGTAATACCCGCGTGTAATCTAGTGTACACAATACACACCACACAACACACGACAACGAGAAGCCGTAGAAACCTACTGGACACGAGTCAAGCTGACGGCTTCTTTACAACATTCTACATCCGGTTAGCACGTTATTCACATCCGGTTAGGATGCTCAGAATAAAAGCCTTGAACGTTGGCTGTGCAGTGGAAGTAGTAGTTTTACAGTGTAGATATACTTAAAAGTATGAGTACCAAAAGTACTTATTGTTTCAGTAAGTAAAGTAAGTAGTACATTATTGCGTTCTGATTGCAGCCGTTACCTGATATAATTTATGAAGTAAATGGCTACAACTATTTTGTGCAGAAAGGCAGCTATTTACTTGGTGATAATGACTTTGCTGGTAACCGTGTTATAAAAGCGATAAGGTACTGGAGGCAGTACTTTATCTCCAATGATGTAACCACCCAACTGTTACATTACTGGATGATAGAGAACAGCCTCAAGTACGTCATTGCTTAATTAAACGATATATTATGAACAGGATTTATTAAGGAAGGACGTCACGTTCATTACGTATTTTGATAACGTTCAGAAATCATAAATACTTGTAAAACATCAGAGAGGTAAAAGCATCAGCTGTTGATGTTATAAACAGTTAACTCTCCAGATTGTGATTTATTCCGTAACACAAGAACGTAGCATGTGAATCTCTTCAAAATAAGGATGAGTCTGAAAATAAAGATCTTAGAATATTGGCGCAATATCTGGAAATGAATTCTGAAAATAAAAATGAAATACGAAAAATAACCAAATATCTGAGATATGTAGCATCTAAAAATAGTGAGTTAGTATAATTAGATCATGACTTCACTGTATTGAAGATACAATTTAAACATCACACGCACCGTTTGTGTTGTTACCATGATGCTGAGAAGAGGATCATCCAGAATCTGTATATTATGTTCATGTACGTTGCTTGTTTCTCGCGGCGCGTCGTCGTCTCACATGAAACCAGGAGCTCAGACAGAAATAACAGCTTGAGCTTCATTTAAGGAGAAAATACGACGTTTAAAAAATATGAGCGCAAAAAGGTCAAACTTCTAATGGCTGCAGATATTTGCAACACAAGTGAAGGAAAATATTCTTTAATTAGGTTCAGTAAACTTTGATAAAAATGATTATGAATCGGTCCGATAAAATGTAGGTTTTAACAACAAATGTCCAACATCTTTACATTTTATGGTTTTAATTTCAGACATAAGAGGTGACAATGTTTGTGAAGAAAATCGGATGAAATAATTGAAACTATATACGTTGTAACTTCTTACATTCACAGCGGCTCTCACATTCAGTCTCACACAGCAATGAGCTCAATACATAAAACACACAGGATTCACTATTCATAAAGCCTCATAATCCCATGAATTTAAACATATCATTTAATAAAAGGTTTCAACAGTTAACAAAGATGTTACAGAGTCAGATCTAATAAAACACAAAGTTAATCCTAATCCCACTAGGAATCAGATCCATAACTCATCTGTATTTCATGAAACAGATTTCAATAAACGAGTTATTAAAACAATAAAAATAGATGAAACACTTAAAGTTGATGAAACATTCTACATACGATGTTCAGAGCTCTGAAAAAGGTTTATTGATTACAATATAAAAGGTTGTAAAACGTCCTGGTCGGGTTTATTTTCAGACTAGAAGGCGACGCTGAGCCTGAATGCTTGTGAGAATATTTCAGACTCTTTTTCTGGATTTAAGTCTAAACTGCAGGGAAGGCGGCCGGACGGGGTTTCTGTCTTCAGGAGGCCCGTCCTGACTTCACCACCTACTTCTCCGGTCCGCTCAGAGAGGGAACTCCCTCCCTCCATCCGTTGGTCCCACCGCCTTCCCCCGGGCCGACCAGCGGACTCTCCTGGAGGCCGCCGCTCCTCCGCCGCCACTCCCAGAGGCCGGCGAGCGCCAGGACAAGGACGCAGGTTGCCAGCAAGGTGGAGACCACGACCAGCTCGCCGTGGTAGCTCCTCCCTCCCACCCAGGCCTGTTTCGGCGCCTCCCCCCCGGGCTGCGCGTTTCTTGCCGCGGTCACGGCGAGGATCAAGGAGTTGTCCGTCGGTCCGGAAGGGGTCAGGCGCTTTAAATCAGTGGTGAACAGAAGCTCCGCCTCCTCGGCCTGGTCCGCCTCAACGTACCCCGAGGTTCTCGGGGCAGAGATCTTTGGCTCCTCGGTGGTGAGGATCACCTGGCCGTGGTCGTCCGGGTCATTCTGCCGCACCTCGTAGCTCGCCACCACCTCCTCGTAGCCGGCCTCCCGCGCCACGCAGCTGTAGGACCCGAAGGTGTCGGCGATGGCGATGAAGCTCAGGCCGCCGTCGGCCGACGTGATGAAGAGGTTCTCCGGCAGGACTTGGAAGCGTGAGGAGGTCCAGGTCAGGGTTGCCATGTTGGAGGGTTTCACACAACGAAGCCTCACTGCCTCGTTGGGATGGACGTTGACTTCTGTCACAAAATACCAGGAAACTTCAACCGATCAAGTTTACATCTTCGGATATGACAGAAATATCTCGAAGGGTTTCAAATATTACACATTCATGGTCCTCTGACTTATTTTGATCCCTGTCCTTCACGCTACCGCCATCTGATGATTGAAGCGTCCAGCTTGTCGTGAAGTATCCTACCAACCGTTGGTTAACACTAAATGTGGTGCCAATATTCATACTGAGCATCCTCAGATCTTTCCTCAGCTTATTTTAAGATACATATGTCAAAATCTATTGGGATGGATTGTGACATATGCGGCATCACTGGTGAATGCTAACACGCAGATGTTAGCATTTAGCTCTGGAAGAACTCTTCAGGCCTTAAGGCACCGGGGGCGGGAGGACACCACAAAGACTTCAGAATGCAAAATGACCGTGATCGAGGAAGTCCTAACCTTGGACCAGTCTCGCCCTGGTTCTCCCTCGGCACTGTTCCCTCACGTCCCCGTGCGTCAGGTCTTGAGCCCTGAGGAGCAAACCGACACAGAACATCATCCTACAGAACAGGGAGGAGATGGGGAGCCGACAGCAGAGGATTTCCTCGCACTTCCCCGTGAGTTTTTAGCCTTTTCACGTACAAGTCCTGGCGATGCCCCTCCAGCCCGGTGCAGACGGCGCCGGCCCGGCTCCACCCACACAGGGGGTCTCTAGCCAGGACGCACTGAGCGCAGGTTGCGTAGATGGAGCAGCGCGCCACGGGGACGGAGGTCACGCCCTCTGAGGTGCCCACGAAGACGACTCCCTGCGGGGCCGGAGCGCGAAGAAGAAAACTTCAAACCAAGTCATCATATTTACAACCAACGAAAGACCGAAGTGCAACCGCAAATCTGCAGCTCCTCAGCGGGTGATTGGAAACGTAATAAGCTAATGGCAGCATGCTAACGTTAGCTCAACACAAGCTGAAGCGGATTTAATGTATTAAGTTGTAGTATTAAAAACATGGACTTGTTGGTGATGAATTAAAAGTGAGCGAAGGTGAAGAACCAGACTTTAAATCCTCTCATACTCAGGATAGTTTTTGTGCGCTATGACTGTTTCCCCAGCGGTCACCATGGAGACCACCGGCCGAGTTTGTGTCCCTGATGTCAGTGAGTCAAATAGGGGACATTTTTCTATATGCCAACAAGGACACGTCTTCACATCCAAGCTACTGTTGTCTTTCTTTTGTGTCTTTATTGTTCGCACATCATCACATGTTTTGGTTTGATAACAAGTCAAAATGTTCATTTGCTATTCATGTTTACATTTTTTTCACCATGTATTTTTGCAAAGGCAATTTGATCTCCACTTTGCAAGTGTTTCAATATATATATATATATATATATATATATATATATATATATATATATATATATATATATATAGTCCAGGTTTGATTCCAGTCTGCCCCATGTTCCATGTCGAAGTGTCCCTGAGCAAGACACCTAACCCCTAATTGCTCCCCGGGCAAAAAATGTGAAAAAGCCATGAGTTTAAAGTGTGATGTAAGTCGCTTTGGATAAAAAAGTGTCTGCTAAATGACCTGTAATGTAATATGTTACATATATAATACATGATATGTGTACATACTTAAATACATAATGTATATAAATATTGATGGCGATTGAATAGAGACGAGGGTGTGAGGGTTACCTTGGAGGAGATGACGAGGCTTTTGACCAGCTGAGGTGGTGTGAAGACCTCAATCTCCTCGATGACCTGAGCTCCTTTATCCAACAGAGCCACTTTGTGGAGGAACCCGGACTCTGGACACCAGGAAGGGAAGACGTACATATTTGAATATGAACACAGTTTTCCAAGTCACACCAGTACTTTTAGTTCAACGTCCCACCCGTGAGCAGGAAGAGTAGAGTGTAAATTTTTCCATCGGCCGCCTGCGTCCTCATCGCGGCCACGCGGCTGTACCGCTGCTCCGAGGAGGCGGCGATGGGGTCGCCTCGCACGCTGCTGCTGGTCAGGAAGCTCTTCTTCACCTGAGATAACTCAAGGTCTGACGCGTTGTTCAGTCCACACTGTTGGGAGAACATGTGGAGGTCAATATTTAGTCAAAAACAAGCCCAGGGCAGCACGTGGTGGTGTTAGGTGGTGGTGTTGGGTGGAGGCCTGTGTGGTGGTGTTGGGTGGAGGTCTGCGTGGTGGTGTTGGGTGGAGGTCTGGGTGGTGGTGTTGGGTGGAGGTCTGTGTGGTGGTGTTGGGTGGAGGTCTGGGTGGTGGTGTTGGGTGGAGGCCTGTGTGGTGGTGTTGGGTGGAGGTCTGCGTGGTGGTGTTGGGTGGAGGTCTGGGTGGTGGTGTTGGGTGGAGGTCTGCGTGGTGGTGTTGGGTGGAGGTCTGCGTGGTGGTGTTGGGTGGAGGTCTGGGTGGTGGTGTTGGGTGGAGGTCTGTGTGGTGGTGTTGGGTGGAGGTCTGGGTGGTGGTGTTGGGTGGAGGTCTGCGTGGTGGTGTTGGGTGGAGGTCTGCGTGGTGGTGTTGGGTGGAGGTCTGCGTGGTGGTGTTGGGTGGAGGTCTGCGTGGTGGTGTTGGGTGGAGGTCTGGGTGGTGGTGTTGGGTGGAGGTCTGGGTGGTGGTGTTTGGTGGAGGTCTGCGTGGTGGTGTTGGGTGGAGGTCTGGGTGGTGGTGTTGGGTGGTGGATGCTGATCAAACTAAGTGAGCATTGAATATTTGTTCACACGGGGAATAAAGACGATCTTCAGGGTGAACGTTGCAGCTTTCTCTCATTGATGTTTTGCTTCTGGTTTTATTCTAAACACAACAAGGACTTGTGTGTCGGCCCGGCGGGCGTCTCACCCGTCCCAGGTACCAGTGTTTCTCCGGCATGTGGTTCAGCTGGCGTGTCCCGGTGATGAAGGTCCGGTAGCTCCCGGTGAAAGCCGCTCTGATGTCCGGGAGCTTGAAGACGCAGACGGCCGACTCCGGAGAGGAGGACCTGAAGCCCACAGATATACAAAGCGGTGGCTTAATAATTTAGTTATTACAACAACATTATTACAACACTACTGTTGTTACAACAGTAATAACCACAGTTATTGCGTAGACGTGGTTGTTCTGCCGCTTTGGGCTCTGACGGGCACTTAGTTAAACCCTGCAGAGTTCTGCAGGCTCTGGGTTTGATGTGAGTGGAATGTGTGCTTGCACAGGTGGTCCTGTCTTCCTACCACTGGGACGTGAAGACGGCGTAGAGCAGCGTGTCGGAGGCGTCGGCGCCCTCTGGAGGCCGGAGGGTGAACACGTCCTGCAGGACGTTGAAGGGAAGCTGTCTGGGAAGCTGACAAAGCAGAGGCGCTTTGGCGAAGGACGTCCACTTGTTCTGAAGAGTCCTCTGACCACCGATGTCCCCCTGAGAGGCCGAGAGAAACTCTGCATACTTCACCTGCAGTAATCATCTCCATGTCTGTGTTTACTCTACATGGTAACAATGTCGTCATCTTAATCTCTGTGTTTATAGGTCAGTATATATCTTATACATATATATAAATACACATATATAGACATCAATGTATCTGTATTTGTTGCCACCTTGCAGACTTGGGCCACCCTGGCAACCTGCAGCTCTTCCAGGAAGTTGAACTCTTTCCCGACCTCACTGAAGAAGAAGTAAAGCTTCTCCCCAGACGGGTCGTGAGACGAGCCAACGAAGGTGGGCTCTAAAAAAAATCATATCCATGTTATTGCATATTATCTATGGTATTACATTATGTAATATAACATCACATCATGATGATCATAACAGCATGTCTGTATATAACCATCTTTCATAGAGTATATCATCATCTTTGTAAACCCTAAGTCGTCTCCAGTGGGGGAAACCACTAACCCTGCCAGTGTTGCTGTCTTGCTCACTTCCTGTTTCTCTTTCCTTCCTCTTCTCTGACTCACCACAGCATTTTGCCCCTTTTCACTGCTCTTAAGCTCAGAATGAAGGATTGTGGGAAAGTGAGTCCTCGCTCACCCTCCAGCAGGCCCACTGATGAGTCCTGGCTGACTTCCTGTCGGCCATCTTTGCTGAAGTGTCGAGAGATCTGCGGTTTGACACCCCTGAAGTCAGTGGTGGTGGCAGTGAACAGCTCCCCATCTACAACACACACAATACGAAATAAATGACTCTTTACACGCCACATACACAATATGTGGTTCCCTCTCTGGGGAACCGTCACCTCATCGTGGTGGAGAGCTTTGTGTGTCCCTATGACCCTGAGGGCTGTGTTGTCGGGAGCCTTGTGCTCCTGGTAGGGTTTCCCTTGGCAAAGTGGTCTCCGGCGAGGGGCCAGACTAAGAAAGGCTCAAGAGACCCTAGAAAAACAGAAAAGGGAAGGCGTCCGGCTTTCGGGTGGTGGGGGGGAAGCAACAATAAGACTCCACAGTCCTACTGGGAGACTTCACTGCTCACGTGGGCGACGATGGAGATAACTGGAGACGCGTGATTGGGAGGAACGGCCTCTCTGATCTGAACCCGAGCGGTTGCTTGTTACTGGACTCCTGTGTCACGGATTGTCCATCACAAACACCATGTTGGAACATAAGGATGTTCATAAGTGTACGTGGTACCAGAGCACCCTAGGCCAAAGATCAATGATCGATTTTGTAATCGTATCGTCTGATCTGAGGCAGCATGTTCTGGACACTCGGGTAAAGAGAGGGGCAGAGCTGTCAACTGATCACCATCTGGTGGTGAGCTGGGTCAGAGGATGAGGGAAGACCCGGGACAGACCCGGTAAACCCAAGCGTGTAGTGAGGGGGAACTGGGAACGTCACCAGTGAGGGGAAGATGGAGTTTGGGTGGAGAATCGGAGCAGCGGGGGCGGTGTTGCACTCGCTTTACCGCACCGTTGTGACGAAAAGAGAGCTGAGAAGGAAGGAAAAGATCTCAATCTACCGATCAATCTCTGTTGAAAGAACTAGGTCACGGGTACAAGACCCAAAGTGGGTTTCCTCATGAGAGTGGCTGGCTTCTCCCTTAGAGATCAGGTTGGAGATAGATGGATGGATAATACACACTCAGGCTGTGGGACAGTTTGTGGGACATTGTAAGCTTAATCTGGTCCGGCTAACTCGGTTAGCCACATACGAAGAACGGGACCCCGGTGGCGATTGAAGCTGTCATGTGACTACGTGGACCAATCAGACGGACCGATGCTGATGGCCGTGTTCCTCTGCTCGGGGCTGTGAGGGCAGCGGCCTCTAGCTTTAGCATCAGCGTGTGTCCCCATGGAGAAGCTCCGGGTGTCCTGAAGGTGACAACAACATCAATAATAATATTAGTATTTATCAAATATAATTACAAATAAAATAAAACAACAATGAAACGAATATATCTAATATTTATTTGCCTAAATATAATCCTGTATGATATTTTATAGAAGTAATGCATGTTAAGAATATCAATAAGCAATAACAAAACAGAAAGTCATTTTGTTGAGTGTGTGAGAGAGTGTTTTATTGTATTGTGTGTGTGGTTTAAAGGGTTAGTATATTTAGATTGGAAACATCTCACAGTTACCTTCCGTGCCTAGTTTTATACATAATATATATATATATATATATATATATATATACTGACGTTCATATTAGTATGAAACAGGAAGGACTAAAGTGATGTATAAATACATGAAACGTGTACGTGGGTTTTCTGGTTAAAGACGTACGATGAAGGCGTCGTGGGGGCTGAAGGCGAAGCTGCCACAGACGTAGAGATGGGTGGAGTTCATCTGCTGCAGGACACTCACGAAGTTAGGACAGTCCACCTGTAGAGACAAAGAGACAGACAGAGACAGAGGTGAAGGAAATTAGCAGTTTTCTGTTGTAAATTTTTGTCGTTCAGAAGTTGAGTTGTGAATGACAAATATACACACATATATATATATATATATATATATGTATATATATATATATATATACATATATATATTTACAGTACTAGTCAAAAGTTTGGACACTTGAGGCGTTCTTCTCTCTGGATTTATTCCCTCAGTAAACGAGTTCATGGTCTCAGTCTCTAGTTTCAAGTCTGATGTCCATTTAGAGTCAAACAGACCATAAAGCAGGGGACGCTTCAGGGCGGGGCTACGTGCTGATTGACAGGAGGAGGAATTACCGTTGGATTCTTTCCTTTACTTTGGCAGTTGTTTATTTCACTCTGCGATGGACGCCATTCCACCTGGAGAGACGGACAGAGAGACAGACAACAACACACTTGCTTTATAGATAAAACAAAGCATGATGGGAGTTTCAGCAGACTGACTCCGGCTCACCTTCTCCTTCAGCCTGATGACATCACTCCGACTGACGTCCAATGAGAGGACGGCGTCCCGCGCCCCCACGTACAGGGTGGAGCTGTCGTCGCTTAGCAACAGCGTGGTGGCGTTGTGGACGTCGGGGGGGGCCGAAGAGGACAACGGGCCTGTCCACAGAGTCTTCACACAGACAGTCACACTAATGTTTTAGAGGTATTACTTCTGCTTCCTGCACACAGCTTATATTCTATTTCACATTTTGTATTCCTTCATTTCAAGACACTATTTTGTCTTTGTTGTCTAAGATTCTCATTTAGATTCTTCCTCCCGACTCAGAGGCTCAGAGGCTCAGAGGCTCAGAGGCTCAGAGGCTCAGAGACTCAGAGACTCAGAGACTCAGAGGCTCAGAGACTCAGAGGCTCAGAGGCTCAGAGGCTCAGAGGCTCAGAGGCAGCACTTTAAAGTTCCATCAGTCAGCTTCATTGGTATTATTGGTTATTGGTGTTGTGTGTTCAACACGTCGATGACGTCCAAACATGGAACAGAGACTGAGCGGCGAGATACACAAACACACAAACACACACACTTCCTGTCTGGGGAGGAAGCGGCACTGAAACTCACAGCCGTTAAAATAGTCACACAAGCAGAAACACTTTGAGGTTTATTATTCACACAATCTGAATGTCACTCTTCAAATATGTTCATAGATTTATAGATGATGGGTCTGTCGATGAATACATTGACATACATGAACAGCATTGAGTCTTCTCGCAAGATCTCATTCATTCACATCGAACGAACGTCCAAACCGATCAGACCAATCAGACCGATCAAACAGATCAGACCGATCCAACAGATCAAACCGATCAGACCAATCAGACCGATCAAACAGATCAGACCGATCCAACAGATCAAACCGATCAGACCGATCCAACAGATCAAACAGATCAAACCGATCAGACCGATCCAACAGATCAGACCGATCCAACAGATCAAACCGATCAAACAGATCAGAACGATCAAATCGATCAGACCGATCAAACAGATCAGACTGATCAAACAGATCAGACCGATCCAACAGATCAGACCGATCCAACAGATCAAACCGATCAAACAGATCAGAACGATCAAATCGATCAGACCGATCAGACCGATCAAACAGATCAGACCGATCCAACAGATCAAACCGATCAGACCGATCCAACAGATCAAACCGATCAGACCGATCCAACAGATCAAACCGATCGTTTGTGGTGTTTCCTGTCTTTTTTCGACAATCGCTAACGAGCTAAAAGTGAAATGTCAACTAATGGTTGCAAAATGTTACCAGTCCTTTATCTTCACTGGTTACCAGTCCTCTCCCCTCACTGGTTACCAGTCCTCTCCCCTCACTGGTTACCAGTCCTTTATCTTCACTGGTTACCAGTCCTCTCCCCTCACTGTTACCAGTCTTTTATCTTCACTAAATAAAACATTAATAAAACATAATCAACTAATGAAATATGTAGTATAATAATGTTTTTACAATCCACACATGAACGTAGTTAATTAAAATAAAATACTAAATAAAAACTAAATAATATTATTGTGACTAAATTCAACATTGATGGAAACTAGATGATGAAACTCAGACACCCACACACACACACACACACACACACACACACACACACACACAGACACACACACACTCACACTCACAGAGGAAACAGGATGTGTTTGTTCATGCTGCACCGTATTATGGGATGTGATGGAGTTGTGATCACATATATGACAGTAATCATTGTCATATATGTGCTGATTACTGTTACATGTGTGATTCTATAATGTTTGTATGTGTTTACTTTTGTGGTATTAATGTTAGTTCACTGGGATGAAGACTGAGACGAATCAACCCAGATATAAAATATTGATCAGCTTCAGGAGCCGGCAGTCTTTATGCTAAGCTAAGCTAAGCTGGCTGTTTAAAGTCTTGAGTGATGTTGGAATATAATGATAATAAAAACAACAACAACAACAACAACAGTGATACTAATAACGATGGTAAACCTACTAATAATTAAAAATATATATATATAAACATGATAAATGACCAGATGAAAAAACAGAATAAAACATAAATACAGTTTAAATAATAAATAAATACTCTTATCTTCCCAGAATGCATCAGAGGCACAAACACTGGTCCAGAAGCAGAAGATTCACTCACTGCGGCGGAAGGAGGTCCGCGGAGGAGGCACCGAGCCGACCGAGCTCACCAGGCCGAGGAGGAAGAGGAGGAAGAGGACGGATGGACACATGACGGAGGATTAAGATGTAAACGTGTTCCTGCTCGCAGACACAGACTCTCACTCAGCAGAACTCACCGTGACTTCCTCTTCGCTGGAGGCTTGGGGAGGAGGGGCCTCTCACATCACCATCAGCTGACATTTGGACAGAAGCGGAATAAGGTTCATTTGACTGATCCCTGAAGGTTTCCCTCATATCCATCTAACTTCCCAGCATGCATCACTCTGGATGTGATGAACAGCCACATATTCATCGTAGTGGTTGTTAGTAAGTGGTCGTTGGCCTCAGAGGATCGTCTTACATAATAAGGTCACGTAGTTTCACGCAGGACTTTGGTCTCCTGGTGAAAGGCCTGTTGGTTTGACTCCTCCCACAAGCCGTCATGGACCTCATCCTCACGCGCATCATTTGACCTCCTGGACAATGAGACCCAACCATGAGAAACGCTCAAAACCAACTCTTCCTGTTGATTGGTTCCCTGCTCTGTCATTTATGTTTCTATAGAAATATGTATGTTAGAAAGAGCCAAATGAGGTGTCACATGTAGTCGGCAAGAGGGTTTGTGGCATCGTTATTTTCATTTGATGTGTATATATATATACACATATATATACATATATATATATATATATATATATGTATATATATGTACAAGTGTTACTTTAAGGGTACTGTGATAAAACTCAACCTGTCAATAAACAAACAGCGAGTCGATGTAGAAACCATTTTATTATTAAACACGTTTCCACGAGCAGTAAACGTGTTTACCGATCAATCGATTACCCATCAATCAATCAATTAACCCAACTAATAGGTATGAATGATCAGACATGTTTGCTATTTAACTCTTTAAGGATTGTTGGGTGAACATTCATTTTTCTCCCCAGGAAGAAGCGTAGTGACATCACTTCCTGTGGGCGGGTCTTCCTCTACATACGTTTCCTGTTCTTTCAGTTTTCTTCCGTTTTCTGCAGTGAAAAACTGACCTTAGATGCTTTAAAGCTATTTACTGTCAACTAAGTACATTTACACTAACTTAGTGGTGTACTTGAGTGTACTAGAATATTTATACTTCTCCACCACATGTCAGATATTGTACTTCCTTGTATATCCAGATGTATGGATGATAAACGTCTTTGCACTTCAACTACTTACACATTATCTCATGGTGGAGTAGTTCCACAGTGAATCAGCAGTACTTTTACTGCAGTATAGAATACTCCTAAAGGCAAACGGTCTCGTTGTCACAACTCTAAACTATTTTTTTCAAGGAATTTGTTAAAACTCTACTTTGACTTCTTTAAATATGCTTCTGATCTGCATCAAACCAGAGAGCAACCAACCAAGCAGCTGGTTGGAGTTACTGGTTTGCTCACGTTGCCGACTTTCATTCAGAACTTTTTATTTAGTTCTAGTCCATTTAAACCACCTCGTTTTGTTCAGCTGTTTGTTGATCTCTGCAAAAAGGGAAATGAAAATGATCTTTATATATTTTCTTTGGCATAACTTCACAAACATTATTCTTTGTCTCAAAGAAATCTCAATAAAAATAAAAAAAGTGTTCCTGAAACCGAACCAAGAATTAAAGAATAAACCCTCACCAGAGAGTCAGAGTTCAAATCCATTTAGAAAGACCAGTTGAAAAATCTAAAGTAAAAAATATTGTATATAATATTGTATATATGATGTAACAGAATGTTCTTTAAATATTTCACATTCAAGTGGTGACGAGATGAATCCAATTTGACAATAAAAGGGTTTTGATATCTTGATGAAAGTCATCATTTTCTTTAAATATAGTCGGCATATTTATTACAAAAATAAATTCATAATGTTTTAAACACATGGTCATACTTTCCCTAAAAGTTAAATATTCCTCAAAATAGTTCTGCTTTATTCTCTGACTCTCGGGTCCCTGAACAGTCGGAACCTTTGAACCGTCAGGGCTCAAGTCTGTTCTGATTGGTTCTGATCCGGGATTTCAATCCTGTTTAATACACGTCGACTTCATGAGAAGCAGATGTTAATTAACACCCAGTTAGAGTCCTACAGAGGGTCCGGTAGATCCTGTTGAAGGTCCAGTAGAGTCCTGCAGAGGGTCCGGTAGGTCCTGTTGAAGGTCCAGTAGAGTCCTACAGAGGGTCCGGTAGGTCCTGTTGAAGATCCAGTAGAGTCCTACAGAGGGTCCGGTAGGTCCTGTTGAAGGTCCGGTAGAGTTCTACAGAGGTTCCTGCAGGTCTTGTTGAGGACCCGGTAAAGGGTCCGAGAGGTCCACAAAGACACCTAAAATTGCTGCTGGTCAGAGGTCTGTTGTTCACTTCCCCAGAACACAATGAGCGGAGGTGCTGTCGAGCAAGGCACGTTTATCTACAGTTGATCCTGAAGGAGAGCAGGAAGTCTGGGTCCCTCTCATCAACTCCTTCATGTGGTTCTCCAGGCTCCTCAGAGAGGAGACGTTTCCACTCTGTGAGGGTTTGATGGTTGATGGGGGTGAAGAGGAGGAGGAGGAGGAGGAGGAGGAGGAGCTTGTCTGCAGAGAGGAGACAACAGCTTATGTTTTCATTCATATCTTCTCACAAGTTACATCAAAATGATCCTATACAAATCCTGGGTGAATGCAAGAAAAACAGAATATTTGTTATGTTATATAGAAATAACAACAAATCCTCAGCATGTGGATGAAACTAATTATTCTGACAATAAAGTAATGATATAAATACAAATAAATCCTGAATGTAATTCAAAATAATGTCAGAAAATCAACAAACAAAGTCAAAATATTAATGTAATTAAAGGCAGAATATAAATAGTCCGAATGTAAAGAGTCGTCGTCCCCGTGAGGGTCTCTGGTTGGTGGGATTGTCGTACCTGTTGCGAGCAGTTGCCAGGGCGACGGCTCTGTGATGCGGCGGTTTGGCGGCGGCGGCGCAGTTGGGGTGGGGGGAGATGTGGGTGCTGGACGCCGGCGGCAGGAGGCGGGGCTTCACTGGCACCACGGGTTTGAGTGGAACAGCAACCTGACGAGAAATAAATGTTTCAAATTAGAAGTTTTAAAAAGCTTTACAGGAAGTGATTCACTGATGCAGACAAAGGGAGTGTAATTAATTACTGAATAAAACCGTTGTGGTGAAAATCCGATGGTTCTAAATCCAACCAGAAACTGGCGAGCCCCACGCTCTCTCTAGTTCCTGAACGCCCCACTTCTGTCAAGTATTGTGATGTCATAGCCCAGAACAACCAATCACATCGCACCTGATGCCGATGGAACCAATATAAATCGTCAGTTCTCAATCGGGATCAACTATTACATCACTTCCTGTGCTAGGTACATGCATGCTACGTGCTAACACTTAGCAGCTAGTAACCCGGCTGTACCTGTGCAGGTGTGAGTGGGTTAGGGGGGAGGGACTTGTTGGCCGGAGCTGATCGACTCCCCCGCATTTAGGGGACATAGTTATAGATATGAATATGTATAGTAGATATGAAATACTGTTTGTTGGGTTCACTGTCGATAGTGTGAGTGGGAACATTCAGCTCCCCCTAGAGGCTCAGAGGGGACCTGCAGACCCCCCGGGGTGTGATAAATACAATGTATTGTGATTATACATTATACGTGTGTTCATCACGTAAATGTTAGAGCTCATTTTAATAACTTTACAAACTGTAGGTAGTTCAATCATGATGTTTTATCACTGATTAATTAGCTGATAAGAACAATAATGTGAATCTGTAAAGAAACTGAAAGCCGCCGCGTGTTTCTGCGTCTTTACGCGCTGGTTTCACTTCCTGGTTGTAAAGTCCTGCGTGTGTTGCAGAGCGATTCACCTCCAGAACAACAGGTGGAGTCACGTGTTTTGTTGAAGACGACCTGGAGAGTCACGTCTTTGTGTGTGGAAGTCGCTGGTTGCTTTATTTATTGATCATAGACTTTATTGCCCCGTGCATCCACACTGCTGCTCTTCATCAAGGACACATTTGTCCCGTATTTTCCTCCACGACTTTGTTCCCCTCGTTGGTGGAGATCTCCCTCCATGAATCAGAGGCCATCCGGCGTCCTCATAGTCCGCCAATGACGGCTTGTACAAGTGCTCATATTTAAAAGCTCTTCAATCTGATCCGTTCTCTCGTGAACGTTCTTCCTTTTAATAACGGCCGTGTTGTGCTGTGAAAACGGAGACGTGAGACTCCGTAAAGGACGTAGTCAGAGACCAATCACAGCCTGCTGCTGCAGGAGGCTGCAAAGCTTTACACGCTGGTCTACAAAAACGGGTCGACGCACGCAAGGAGGCGTGAAAAGACACGCAAGAGACACGCAGGGGACACGCTTGGATAAAAGAGTCAGTTAAATGACCTGTAATGTAACGGAAAGTTGAAGTGATTAGCTGCTAATACCGTACTAGTTATCAGTACTAGTGATCAGTACTAGTTATCAGTACTCTGCACTAGTGATCAGTACTAGTTATCCCTACTCTGCACTAGTTATCAGTACTAGTTATCAGTACTAGTTATCAGTACTAGTTATCAGTACTAGTTATCAGTACTCTGCACTAGTTATCAGTACTTACTACGGTAGCGGCTTGGTGGGGGGCTGCTCTCTGATTGACGAGCAGAGAAGCAGGTCAGCATCAGATTATTGATTATTGATCTACTCTACTGGACCAGAACTACAGTACGAGACAAAGACGTTGATTGAAGCGGGTCGGTTCTGACACACAAACACAGGCGTTGCCTCACGGGGAGGTTACCTGCGGCGGGGGGTTTAAGGCGGGGTCGGGGGGGAGTGGCTTAGCGGGAGGCGCGGGTCTGTCACGGCCCTGATAGGAGAGGAAGCAGAGTGACAGCTGATGTTCCACTTCTCTATCAGAATAACACAGAGCAGCTTGTGATGGAGAGACACCATTTCCCACAATCCCTCTGCACGCTGCAGGTAAACCTCAGGTGCACATTTTAGCGCATCATTCGTGTGAACGGGTGATTGGTTACCAGGTGACATGTGATCATTTGACCAGGTGACCATGTGTCAAACAGGTAAACAAACACACCTGTGCTCTCTGATGCGTCTCAGGTGTCCCGTCCTCCTCTGAAGACTCATCCAGGTAGAAACACCATCGCTCTTCAAACTGCTTCCTACTCAAGACCCGGAATGGGGCGTTCTTACCTCTTTGGTGGGCGGGGTCAGCGGTGTGTCGGCGGGCGGGTTCAGGTGGTACCGGAGAGGTCGGACCTGCTCTCCGTTCCGTCGGTCCACTCGCTCCACCACCGGCGTCCTGGAGTCACAAACACACGGTGGGATTCCTCCTCTGTGACGCCTCACCTCTCACTGGATCCAACGTCCTCCCGTCCAGGTTTACTCACATTAAGTCACGTTAGCGAACATCTACTCAAGTTAAATCACACCTTTAAGGTCCGAGGTGGATCGAAGACCACGAGGACCTGAATCAGAAGCAGCTTTATGGATCATGTGAGCTTACGTTAGCTTACGTTAGCATTGTTATCGTTAGCTCGTCCTGCAGCTCCTACAGGACATCCGATGCGTGACATGAAGATTCTACCGTCAACACCGAAGGACGAGGACATTAACTCCCATGATCCTTTGCTGCTACCAATGAAATATTGTACTTTTAAAGCTTCACTTCTAGAACTCTAAGGGGTCAAACTACATAGTAGAGGAGAAGGACCACAAGGACCACAAGGACCACAAGGACCCGCAGTACCTGGAGAGGTGGAGCGGGTCTAACTCCAGAATCATCTCACAGTGAGTCACACTGCATTATGGGTAAGAAAACACAGCAGGCTCTTGTGAGTTTAATGTATTATGAGATTATAACATGTCCGTTCACACCGTCGCCCTCACATACAAAGTCACTGCGACGCGATGACGCGACTGAGCGGCGCGTTTCTCGTGTCGAGTTGATTTAGGGGTCACGCGT